GCAACGCTTCCTGAACTTCCTCCGGCGAATTACAGCTCTATAAAGACAGAAATTATGCGCCGGCAACGAGCTTAACCATCAATGACGAAAGTGGATCCCTAATAACGTCATCGCATCACAATGATTCGGAAAGTGAAAAAGCGAACGATCGCTGGGAAGAAGGAAACCAGTGCGCCCATTGAATCGGCCGAAGAAACTAGAACTTTGTAAATGGAAAATCACAACCGCGCAATCGTCGTCAATCAGCTGATGACGAAAGTAGATCACATTCGTGTCACTACCCGGAATATCTTCATTTCCTACTAGGGACAAATATTGGCGACCGCCGGAAATCGTAACTCTGTTAAAAAGTAAATGGTGCGCGATTTTATGCGCATAATTTATCGATTATATACGATTAATGACGAAAGCGGACTACAGCGGATATTTTGATTTGGAAAATGAAAGAGACGAATAATATGAATGAGCCGTTCTAGATTTTTTGGAAGTATATTTCATGCGAAGTTCGAGTTTTTTAAATAAAATTTAATAATGTTACATCTACTGCGTGCATGCATGAAAAGGTTTTTTGGAATTCTACAATATCCGTTTTCCTTCATTCATTTCTCTTCTGCTAGACAGCAAAAATATCAATCGCGGCGCTTGATCGCAATTAGTTTCTTTTATTTTACGTCTAACAAGTTAGATTTTTCAATCTTCTCTGCTTTGTGAAAATTCGTCTCTGTTACAAGGCCATACATCCTAGAATTAAACCATTAAACCGATCCAATCTCATAATTCTATCTATATATATCTATCAATCTGTTAAAAACGCTGCTGAATCCTCAAAAGCATATCACAGTCGTCAGCTCCAGATCCGGATACGTTGCTCTCCGGCAAATTCCTTCGGTATTTCCTTGCACCAACTTTCATCCTCCGATCGAGGAGGAGAGCCTTCTCAACGGCATATGTGGCACAACGGCGTGGTTTCACGCGCTGTAAATTATCCGTGCGTGGCCATTTATGCCACGGCAATGTGCCTTCCTTCCCGAAACTCCGATCAAGCACCAGTTTGCGTCGCTCACGAGGGGAAATCATGAGACTGTGTGTCCAGCGCGTTCGCGCGGTGACAGTGACTTTCGTTTGTCGTAATATTGAGCAAAGGGGAAGGTCGCATATCCGCGATCATTAACATGCGGGAAAAGATGCCGGAAGCGTGTGCGTATCAACGCGCTAATCGCGCATGTCTATCTTCAGAAAGTATAATGCACTCGAATCGCCGGAAGCAGACAGAGGAAGCCGAAGCTCGCTTAGAAGTTTGAATAGTTTCTCAAGAAAGAGAAATTCCTTTTCAGTTTTAAGATGAAATCTTCCCACGATTCGCATTGTTAACATCGATTGCATACGTTAAACACAATATACGATTAATCTTCCAAATTGTTCAAAAAGTTTTTTGTTTATTTCGTCAAACTTTAATATATATTCATACATTTATATATTTATAACATATATATATTTTTTAAAAATGATTTTACATGAGGAAGGCGTAAAAACCCGTTGTATACGTTATGTATGTAAAATGCCCGATCCGAGTATGGCTTGATTCTTAAAGATCCACTCGCCTTTTTAAAAATTTCAAAATTTTCACGGTTGATTATTTATGCCATAATAATATTTATTTTTCTTCTCGTTTGAATGTAAATGTACAAGCTCGTACGGTATTTTGAATATTTTCAGAGAAAGGCGGTCAAAAAATATTCTACTGGGTCTTTCTATCTGGGCCTTTCTATCTGGGTCGTATTCGGGGGTATATATCTCGCATCAATATATAAATAAGAACGATGTAACACAGCTACGGCTTTGGAGACGATCAAACCTCGACGGATCGTCGACGAGAGATTTCTTCGTCATCGCGTGCGCGATTAGAGGGATGGAATCTCGCTTGTGTGGCAATGGGACAGGGTTTAAATTGATGATATGCTGCGACACGATCCTGCTTCCTTATATCTATGAAACCCGAGTACCAAAAGACACCGGTGTCGAATCGAAAGCTTGCGTCTGATATCGCGATGCATCGGACTGATGTGTGCCATGTGATACGATGGTACGATAAGTGAAGACTGTAATACTATATACACCACGTAGACATATAGAATGCAAACGTGTAGTTAAGTAAGATCGGTATAAGATTATATTATTTTATATAATTTTTACTGCATGTTTTATCAGTCTAGCTTGTACGCTATACCTACACACTTACGTAAGTTTGTACGCGACGAGCTTAAGTGAGTCTTCTTTCGTTGAGCCCCACGGTGGGTCAAATAACGGTCAGCCGCGTATTCCACTTGGCTAGCCTATGCTCGCACCTCGATTAACTGCGCCGACTTGTAATTTCAGCGTCGACGAAAATTTCACGAACGATCCTCGCGAGGTATCCTTCGTCTCAGAAGAAGATCCTCGAAGGGAGAAAAATTCTTAATTTAGCATAGCCTTTTTGAATGATAATCAAAGATCAGATGTGTATATCTCTATCATGATATATCCTTTTAATTTTGCAAGAAAATTCGCAATTAATATTTTAATTTAAAGAGTGTCGGCGAAATCAAAAGGACGTAGTCTTATAATATCTGCTTGAAAAAACTTGAAAGTCAAGATTCATTCATTCAAAAATATTGAACTACCTAAGTGACTGTTATTCTTGACATTTTTTTTCTTTACTTCCATAGCTATTTTATCACACAGATGGAAAGGTTAATGATAAACAAAAAAATAGGTAGATAAACAAAATAAATAAAACAGAAAACAGGGATATTTGGAAATGCAGCGCGCGCCGTTCGCCGTCCGCGGTTGCGTATGCAACTTTCGCCGAAACTGATCTCACTGACCCACTACAACCAACCGCCAATCCAGCGGATTGGAATAGGAGATTACCGCGGGCTCCGTGAAACTTAATTGAAACTGTAAAGTAAACTACACAGCTCGAAATTATAAAGCAGCAAGACAATCTTGGCTCCACATTTCTGACTTTTTCACCGTGAAAGTAACGCAATTGAAAATTTTCTAGGAATTATTACTACAATATTATGTAAAGAAGATATATGATAGTATTTATTTACACGAACAACAATATGATGTTTATAATGACATAATATAGTTATTTTTAGACAATAAAATAATATATGTTATTTTTATGAGTGTCTTTTTCACAATACTTTATAATCAGATTTCTAAAAGTCCTTAATCATGATTGTAAAACTGTAATTTTTGAGGTCATTAAATTAACACATCCTTTTTCATAGGGAAAAATTTTTAATGAGAAATAACTTTATAATAAAACATTGCATAGAGAGAAGTACAGATGCTGTGGGCACTGAGCCAGCCGCAAGATGTATCTCGCGCTCAAATGACACGTTTAGCCTTGACATGCACGTGCAACGTCTATACATACGACATATAACTCATCCCGCGTAATTCATTATAAACGTCCCTATGTCGACTCCAACTCATTTCCGCTTCAGCTATACTTCCAATGGATCGTAGTTCCGAATAATGAAAACAGTGATTCACAAAATCGCGTGACCCCGCCACAATAAATTGCTCGACGAAGCTCTCGGCGAATTACGCGTCATTTATCAAACTGCCTGGGCCCTATTTATCAATCGAGGCTTCGTGGGAAAAGTTTAAAATTAAATTAGTTTTATTGCCGTTAACTTTTCTTGCCGTCTCTATTTGATGGGCATCACAATGGATAGAACAGAAATGAATATAAAAATAGACGTAATTAGTTAAGTATTTATATTCATCTCTCTCTTTCTCCCTCTAATGATAACAACACGCATTTATCGATGTAACAGCGGTGAAATGAAAAATCTTGCGGTCAATCAAACGGACTTGGGTTTTTGCTGATCGAAATATCTCAATCATCTCCAGAAGAAACTTCCGTTACCAACATAGAATCCGCTAATACTGTAAACGAATTCTTACGGGAGAATCGAACGGGTTCCGTTAACTTCGGTGCGACGCGACGATGCTATACGCGTTCTGTCAATCCAAACGGGAATCATTATTATTTTCCACACATTCGAAGGACGCGGTCGTACCGCATCGCTGACCCACTTACAAGTAACAGTAACGGGCGTGACAAGGCCCCGCCGAGGCACACCGAAAAATTTCGTATGGTGCAACAGAGTACGGTATAGATCTCGGATACGTGTGCGGCGTCGAAAATAAATTATTATAATTTGTTTCTTCATATACGTGTTTTTCGCACGTTGCTCGTCGTAGCGCGACAAAAGAAATTAAAGACGGCACCTACGACCGTGAAAACGTCGCGTGGGTTTCCATCACGAGATTTCCTCGATCGCGTCGCGCAACGACGTGATTTTCGACGCCTCGTTTACCGCCGAGGAAAGTGCAAGTTACGCTCTGCCGAATGCAAATTCTTTTCCCAGTAATTGCGCGCATCTTTCGCGAATATACCCTCGCCGGACGATTAATTGTAGTTTTCAACGAATGGGTAGCCTAGCGGTGGACACATAACGTATAAGTATAACTATACAGGTGTGGTTTTCCTGCAAAATTGCCTGGAAATTTATGATTGAGTCTATTTTTCTTGAGTATTTGGATGCACACTGATACCGATACCAATTAAAGCAGAGATTCTGCGACATTTTTATAACCCGTAATTTTTCTACTCTTATTAATATTAAATGTTCTCAAATTAATTATATTATCGCGATGATAAAGAACAGTATTTCATATTTTTATACATTTTATATGTGACATTTACGAGTTATTAATTTTAAAATTATATATGCGTTTAAATCTTAAATTTGTACTTACTATGTTGTTGATAAATGTATAAAAATAGATTTCTTTCATATTTCATTATCTTATTTTTATTAATTCTATTTGGTTCGTATATGCATGTAATTATATTTTCTTAAATAATTAAAATGTGATATTTAAATATATTGATTTTTTATTGCATTTCTATATTTTATACTTTTTTATGATTGCAGGTAACAATACCAAAGAATACAAAATAGCATGCCAAATCAAGGCAGAATATCAAGTCGCATCTTTCTATTGTGCGTTTTCCTGACCAGTTCGACATGGATTGTTGTTGGTACGTGGCACGTCAAAAAAAGTTTTATTGAATAAAAAGTATGTCTGGCTATCTTTCTTTATGTATGAAATCTTTTTAACAATAGAATTGTCTCATGAAAGCATTAAATTGAAACTTATTCATGCACATTGAATACCGAAATAAGAAACGTCAAACAACTTACGTAACAAAAGCAGACAATAATAACAGTAAAAAATATGTTAACATTACCGCTTATGTAATATAGAAGATTAGAATGAGATGGACCGAACTTTACGGCGGTGCAAATTTTATGACGGATGATACGACGATTGGCGATTTAAGTCGAAAAATAGAGCGCGGTTCATCGAGCGCAACCTCGTAACCTCTTTTTACCGAGAAAGTATTTAGGATTTGCATGCAATTCGATCGATTATATCTACGGGAAATTATGTGACTTCCCTTGAACAACGGGTTACAGACTATTCCGAGCGTAACGGAGAAATTGCACGTTTTCGAAGCAAGATGCGTCGTGCCTTTCGTGCTTTATGGGAAAGATCGACACACTTTATCCAAACAATTCTGCAAGATCGCAAATGATCGATCGCGATTAATCGCAGCGTGAAAAATGAACATTTCCTTCCGCATGAAACGGTCCGATGAATCGCACCACGTGATTGCCCATTTATTTTTATGTACGCCCGCTAGAAAGTTTATAATGTTGCTCGAATGACGGAGAAAAGACTCTCGTCTTTTTTATATCATCAATCATTACACCAATTTCACTTCAGTCTTGAAATCCATAATTTATAATTTGCCAAATTTTTATTTTTTATGCCAGTCTATGCCGCAGAACTCACTGTATAAAGCTTTCGGAGATTTCTCCAATATATAAGTACAGAGTTTATAGCTGTAGCTTATATTAATCATGTATTATCTAAGAAAGAGAATTCAATTTCCGGTCGCATCCAAGCAAACTTGTAATTATTCGTATAACAAAGCTCGTTTCAGCTGCTAACAGGTAGTTACATTTCCGGCCGGTTTTTGCGCAACGATCATACTCTTTGTGAAATTGTAAAATTAACTTCGCGAGTGTCAAGTTACGCAATCCGTACAAATGATCCGCCGAAAATGAAGGACTGTCGTCGCCGACTGTCTGACTGCGAACGCAAGCGGTCGTTCACGTTTTAATTAAAGAAACGTTTCTTTCTGCTGGCTTTCGCAGGAAATCCCATTTGGTACAGGACGAAACGGGAAGCGGAGATAGCGTCGACCAACTGGACAGCACTCGCCGACGAATGGATCGCGGCGAAGGCCAGGGCCGCCGAAAGAATGGACGTAGCTCTGCTACCGTTCAACGACAGATTCCGGGAATTACCGCCTACGGCGGAGACCTTCGTCGTTAACGGCACGAGCGCGGAACAATTGGAACGGGTAAGAGAATTTCTTTCATTCGCGTTTGCACACAGCCGAGTCGCGAACAAGATTGCATCTGTGTAGTTCAACCGGAAATTTGCGTTGTCACTGTCGATTGCGCAAGATCCTACCTTCGTTATCAATCTATCGGAAACTTTCTCTGGCAAACGGTAAGCGCTACGAGAATTGTTTACTTTTTTCAGGTGAAAATTCGCTAAGAATTTATGTTAATAAGGTGCACAATATCTCATTGGCTTCGCGTTACAACATCACAGACATTCTATCTAAACTTTTGAAAGAAAGAAATTTTAACGATATTGTTGCAATCATTTGTAACTTATCTTCTTTGCTCATAAACCTATATTTTTATAATTTTTATATAAAACAAAATTTATAAATATTATGGATTTATAAACTTTCTAAATTTATTTCAACTTTATAAATTATTTATAAATTATATAAAGATTTATTTTGAAATTTTGCTAATCCATATATTGATTTATCATATAAAAAATCCTGGTTTCTTTTTTATAAGACAAATATACTAATATAACATATGTTAATTTTTTTTATATCATTATATCAATATATTATTCCATTGTAATTCTTTTTGTCATAAAAATTTTAAAGAATCAAGAAAAAGTGATGACAGCCGTTAAACACCCCGTACACATTGTATCTCCGCTACAAACATTGCATAAGCTTTAATGATTGGTATCAACGATGCGACTTACACCGTTCAATCTGTTTCTATTTCGCGTGACAGTAATTTAACGCCGGGAATAATCAGACCGTTATAAACGCACTCGATTATATTAGAATATTATAGGAAAAGTAGCATCTGTGTGTGTCGTCGTATCGTCGATTCGAGCTTGTTGTAATTTCACATAAAAACCTATATGAAATGTATTGTTTCATGAAATTATTATGAAATGCACGAATAAAATCGGAAAAATTTATGCGACATCGATGAGACGTAACGCAATCGTGAAACGAAAAGAAGACTATAAAAAGAAGGATCTCTATACGTTCGTTCTCACGATCGCTCCGCTTTTATAAGGAACGGGAAATTGGTTTGATCGATATATTTTCGCTCTTGCGTCCGTCTTAATCGATCACGTGCGCGTTTCTCCTTGATACATGAAATTAACGTAGAAATGTATTTATAACGTGTCGATGATGTATCATGTAATTCAACGCATCAAGAATTTCATCGTGAAATTTTTAGATTAGTGATTGAAACAGTGAATGGGCTACATTGGATGGACTAATTCATTAAAAAGAAATATTGCTACAAATACAAAAATCTCGCAGTTTACCCTGCAAAATCGGAGATTATCGTTTGCGTTCTTGCGATTGCGTTTGGTCTCGCCTTCTCTTTAGTCTCTTTTTTCCTTTTTCTTATCTCTCTCCTCGCCTGACATCCGATGGGAGACGCGACGATGTCGCCGCGACTCTCACTTTCAGTGCCAAAATACTTTCACCAAGACGATCACGGACAAACACCGTGGCGATGGCAAGTATGTATCTTCTATCCTTCCTATTCGTGTGTTTTACACGCAAACAGTGCGTAATACAGCGTCAATGACTTTCGTCCGCGAAAGTCGTGCGCGATCATCGATACTATTCGTCACCGCTTGCGTAAAAGAAAACGCCGGTGGGCACATCCGCAGAGCGCGCAGAGCTCCCTTCGATCTCGGAAGAGATGCACGCTCGATTATCTCGAGATCGCAGAAAGAAAGTCACGCGATCGAAGGCGTCGCGGGAAGCGACTGTTCTAATTCACTTTGATCCGTCTCTCACGTTATAAAACGATGCGACAGGGTGGATGCCCGCTGATTAAATTTTCAGTTCGTATTCCGTACATGTGATTGCAGTTAAATTACTCGCGGATGCTGTGGGACATGGAAACGGTCCAGCCGAACGGGCATCTATCTGGATTCGTGGACAAAGCTCTCAAGCTGCTAGACCTGAGGCAAGTGATGATGGAAGTTGAGACATCCGTCATGTCTAAAGTTTCTTGCACCGCTTGCAAAGTCGGCGCTAGTTTGCTGCAGCATTACATAAAGACCGGCAAGAGCGACGAGGAGATTATGGCTAGCATTTATCAATTCTGCGTGTCGCTCAACATACAAAGCCCCCGAGTTTGTCACGGAGTCACCATGCTGTTTGGGGTAAAGCTTGAATATATATATTCAATTGGCAAAATATTTTTATTAATTAACGAAGTATTTAAAACTAACAAATCTACGTCGTAGGGGGAGGTGATTTATGTGCTGAAACAGGTGAACATGGGTCCAGCGCAGATCTGCAGCTTCGTAATCGGCGATGCGTGCGAAGACCAGTTCAATCCGCTGCACGAATGGGAGGTAGCCTTCCCACCGGTCAAGAAACCGCCGATCAAGCCACCGATCCCGCCGCAGGAAGGCGCGCCAACGTTCAAGGTCCTGCATATATCTGACACGCACTACGATCCGTACTATCAGGAGGGTGCGAACGCCGAGTGCAACGAGCCGCTCTGCTGTCGGCTGACGAATGGCGCTCCGTTGACCGCGTCGGCCGCGGCTGGAAGATGGGGCGACTACAGAAAATGCGACACGCCCAAGAGAACGATCGACCATATGCTCAAGCACATCGCCGACACACATTCAGTGAGCAGCACGAACGATTAAACCCGTCGTCGCGCGACACTTAGAAGACGATGATGAGGAGGGAGGGGGAGACGCTCATTCCGGAGCAAATTTCGTGCCGCTCGAAAAACATTTTTAGCAAATATGACCGATAAACAATAGGGAAATAGTTGATTTACTGATTATGACATAGTCTCTTAACTTCGTTAATTTTAATTCAAGTTAATTCATCAATAATATAATTATTTCCTGCGCGTAAGAGAAGTTTTTTAGTTTTAATCATCTCCGGACATATTGCTTTACAGATTTTTCGATTCTTTAACTGTTTGATTTTTGATTCGTTCTATATTAGGAGAACGGGATAATTAGGAGAAAATTAGGAGAAAATTTCTCTTTAGCGTTGAAAAAATTTTTCAGGACATCGATTATATTTTGTGGACTGGAGACCTTCCGCCACATGATGTGTGGAATCAAACGAGAGAAGAAAATTTAAAAGTCTTGCGTGACACGGTCGCGCAGATGGTGGAGATGTTTCCAGGAATACCGATCTTTCCGGCCTTGGGAAATCACGAGAGCGCACCGGTCAATAGGTACATCCGCCACATGAATACAAACTCGCGTACTTTCACTTTTCTAGAAAATATCACCTCAGGTTACGATTAATTTGTGATATATATATCCAGATCTCACTCACAGACATAGCAGAGTGTTTTCTCTTAAGAGATTCTATCATATGGAGCAGATTTTAGTTTAAAAGAAGAAAGTTGACGCACATAAAATAGGACGCGAGAGAAAGGAAAGGGGAAAATAACTGAGCTGTCGTTAAATATTTCCTACTTGGCAATTAAATTAGTATTTTAAAACTAATTAGTCTTTTAATTTAAAATTACTTTAAGATTTTAAAGTGCTTGAAAGGACTCCAAGAAGTAGAAAGCATTCGATAATGGATTAACGCGATGTATAAAAAGACTTCTGTTATCTCATATTATTATCTCTATATTAATAACAGAAATAAATCTTTTTTTTTAATATAAAATGTAGATAAAATGTATTTTGGTGAAAAGGAGAGAATCACGAATTTTAGACGTATTTTACATATGTTTAGATCCTTTCTGAAATGATTCTACTGGGACTCAGTATCTATTTCCGTTCTTTTTAGCTTCCCACCTCCTTTCGTGCCTGAAGAGAATAGTATCTCGTGGTTGTACGACGAACTTGATAAACAGTGGCGACTTTGGCTACCGGCCGGTGTATCCCATACTGTACGTCGTGGCGCTTTTTATTCGGTCTTGGTTCGACCGGGTTTCAGGATTCTGTCTGTTAACATGAATTATTGTAATAACAAAAATTGGTGGCTACTGATCAACAGCACGGATCCGGTCAGCGAACTGCAGTGGCTCGTGTACGAGCTGCAGGGCGCGGAGATCAACGGTGAGAAGGTGCACATAATCGGGCATATACCTCCGGGACATTCAGATTGTCTCAAGGTGTGGTCGAGAAATTACTATCACATAATCAACCGGTTCGTATATACTTGATCGTTTATAAATCGCTATCGAGCTCCATGGTATTTGAATGACAAATGTTCTCCTTCCGCCTTTACCTAGCTATGAATCAACTATCACGGCACAATTCTTCGGGCACACGCATTACGACGAGTTCCAGTTATTCTATGATACATCAGACCTTGGTAGAGCGGTTAGCATCGCCTATGTTGGTCCTTCGGTCTCGCCATATTATGATCTCAATCCCGGCTACAGGATATATTACATTGATGGAGATCACGCCAAGACTACAAGAGTAAGTATAATAACGCTATTCATATACTTCCTCATGAGCATAATTAGCAGGATATATCTAGCGATCCAGCAACACTCTGTACGCTCGTGTCTTTAAGCGTTATTTATCATTTTCTAACTGACGCGCGGATTCCAGATGGTCGTCGATCACGAGAGCTGGGTCATGAATCTCAAGGAAGCGAATCTTTATGATTACCCGATCTGGCATAAGTTGTACAGCGCGCGGCAAGCCTACCAAATGGCGTCACTCTTGCCGAGGGACTGGGACTCGCTGATCGACAAGATGACTAACGAGCCAGCCCTCTTTGATCTCTATTACAAGTAATCCTGCTCGCATTATACGATGACTAATACCGTAATTTCTTAAAAGAAAATAATCGGAAATTTTTTGTAATATATATATTAACATAAAAATTTATTGTAACATAATAATATATGGCCCAATACTTAAATCGATCGGATTTTACTGAATAAAAATATGTATGAACGAAGATGCTTCAGGGCACTTTAGAAAGGAAACCTAAGGTTCGAGGTTCAATATCCTTCTTGAGAAAAGTAACATATATTTGCCTTTGTTCTTTGCAGACATTATTACAAAAACTCTCCAGTGCGACCGGCATGTAATGACGAGTGTCGCAAGAGATTGCTCTGCGATCTGCGCAGCGGAAGAAGCCACGACCGAAAGGCATTATGCCAGAGTTTGGAAGCGAGAATCGACGATGAAACGAAAACAGGCTGGCGTGCATGGATCTACAAGGGGCTCGCACTATCGTACGTAAAGGATTTCTGGCTTGAAATGTATTCCGGCAACGTTATGACTAACGAAGTCGGTTTAATCAACCGTCCGAATGAATATGTCGCGAATAATTCGCAAACTGATCCGCACTTGACTCTTTCTTAATTTTCAAAAATCTGATCTTTCTCTTACTTATAAAAGAAGAACTTATCTCAAACTGTGTAGTAGGTTTTTAACGATATGCTGAAAGTCTGCTTTTTCTGTTTCACACGCATTTTTCACACTAGTAAAACTTGTGCAACTTTGCGATAGCTTTAAACGGACTTGTAAAACAATAACTAAGAAGTTGAAGAAACTGTGCAATGATTTATGGTAAGGTGAAGGTCTTTATCTAACTGAATCTAATGACATTGAAATTTCACAATAAAATTAATAATAGATTAATAAAAGATTAATAATAAGAAGTCGTTTAACAGTCGTATGTTGTAAATACTGATACAAATAACCTAGCTTGGTTGCAGTTGTGCGGCGTTATGTTAACGAAATGCGAAGAAATATTAACAATATTTACATATTAATAATATTATGATAATAAATTGCTAGACTGATTAATTGATATCAATCAAGCGTATCAATATCCGTGTTACTTACGAGGAACATGTCACTGTCTGGAATCGATTTAATTTTCCTTCGCCCCAAATAAATGTTAAATCTAACAGACACGTATTTTTTATACATGCCCATTTTGAAGAAAAAGGTAAAACAACCCTTCAAAAGCCCCTTTCAAAGCTGACGCTTATATACAATTATCGTGAGATATATAAAAAAAAATGTTTTAGATAAAATTCTTATAGCTTTTTATGTACTTTACAACTGTATATTTTCCAAAAAAATCTAATGTTTTTCAATTTTTTAACTTTTTATTTATTTCTCAAACATTCAATTTTGTAAAATATGGATTAACATTAATAAAATAATAATAATAAATGAATAATAATTTTTAATTTTTATATGTAGAAGAAATATAATTTCAGCAAAATAATAATAAAAATAGGAACACTTTAAAAAATATTAGATTTTTGAAAAAACTAAATACATAGTTATAAAGTACGTAAAAAACCATAAAAGTTTTGTAACACATTTTTTCATGTATCTTACTATTTTTATGATAATTAATTATAATAAAATATAAGTATTAACTTTAGGGGATTTTATTTCATCTTGTAAAACTCAAAATGAACTTGTTTAAAAAATACATGTCTTTTAGATTTTTGCGTATAATTCACTTTATAGAGAATCAAAGGATCAAAGAGATTCGAAGAATTAAATTTCAGACAGTTGACATGTCCCTTGTTATTATAGATACAATCTATTTTTTTATACACATAGCAAACCTGATTGAATTTTCTTATCTACATTAGCTACGTTTTTCAATATTATTTTAGTGTAATTTGTTAAAAAAGACTTCTTTTCCGCTTATTAATTAATGTAACACGTAATCTGTAGTAAGAGACGATAGATTTTAACATGACAAAGAGACATTCGCTCAATAATGTATTTAGCAAATAGGTTTAAGTTTCGCTCAAAGAACTTAAAGAGCCTAACAAATAAATGTCGACCAACTGCATTTAGTAGCACCGAGATCGCTAATATTGCTTTACCTAAAATGCATGTATGTGAAATAAGTGTACATGTATCGCACTTGAAAGAGTTTTTGATAATTGATTAGACATATGAATCATCGTGTAACATTTGCATGAAAGATTGAAAACATTAATTTCTTCAACTGAGAAGCATGATGATAAAGGAAAATATTCAATATTTTTTCATATGTTTCAGAGCTTTCTTCGCGAAACATGTCGCGTCGTAATTCAAAATAACTGCATTTTTATGCAAGCTCCTTCGAGTGTCGACCATATAAAAATAAAAAGAAACAAGAAAATTTCTGTTACGAATTATATATTGTATATGAGATATTATGTAATTTTAATCGCGTGCCTTGTTGACTGAAACGTTATAAATATATTTTTCCTTAACATGACAATTTTGCCAATAAAACAAACATATATAGAAACGGTGTTGAGATTACCCAATCTAGATGTAGATATATACCTTTTAAACATTTGAATTAATTTCAGCATCGCTCAGAATCGCGCGTAATATTAATGAACAAGTTTCACAACATGCAAAAATGCTTTTCTTAGGAGCACTTAATCTGATAAGCGCACCGCGGCATTTAAGCTAGCTTTGTCCCGTCGAAAACGTCAATTACTTAATTTGTACATATCTAGAAATACAGTAAGCTTGTTTGGTGGCGGAGAGTAACAACCGATGACATTTCTATCTTCTACACTGCGCATTATAGTAAGTAGTACAAGTGTATATAAATTATAAATCACACTCATAAGTAATACCAGCCGCATAATTTCCGAGGCAGTAATTGTTTAAGCTATGAAAAATTATGCTGTATTTAATGTTGAATTGAATGACTTAACAAATTACTTCTGCGTGTAAATGAATTTTACTAATTTCAGTAATTACTCCGAATAGCCAGATATTTATCGAGAACAGATTTTGAAAGTGTCTGCCAAAAATTTTGTCGATAAGGTCAGCAGAAATATGACAGAATTAGATTTCTGTTGGCATTTTATCGACAAAATTTATAACAGACACTTTCATCCCGCATAAGAATACAAAATTACAAAAATTTTAAGTTTGATTTTTGCATTCTAGAAAACTTAAATCCAAGGATAATTTTATTGTATGCAATAAGAGCTGTGTCATTAATTTTTACTCGTTCGAAAAAGATAACTCGAGGTTTCTTATTAATGCGCGAGAAATCGCGAGAAATGATCTATTCCTTATGTTTATCAAATTTGGCAGCTAAAGTGACAAATATATAAATGTCATCGAAACTTCTTTTACAGAATGTCCGTGGTTATGGCCATCCCCAGGTTCGCGTACAATTTACCAAAGTACGTCTTAGGACTGGGTTAGAACAAGGAAACGGACGCCAAGTGCAAATGTATGACTCAACTTGTGATGTTAAATTATTAAAAATATTCAGGATGTCCTCGTCGCGTTCAAAACGCGAGTTTCGACGCCGTTGACAATTATATCCGTCGAAATTGAATACCGCGTTCGATTATTCAAATAACAATATTAATAAGATAAATTTTTACATTTTTATGAAAAGAATTGATCAATTTTACGAAACGAATTGAAAAATTGACCTATTATCTTTTAATAAAATAGGTGCGCAAAAAAGATTTAAGGAAATGCAAACCAAGGAAATAATATTTCATGATACTTATGATATTTAGATATTAAGCGTAATGAAGGTCGGAAATTTTTTCTCATTTGGAGAAACACGATTCAATCTAATATTAAAATACATCGACACAATTTCAATTTGTAATGTGCAAAATGCGCAAGAAAGTATTTTACGTGAATCATCGCGTTTTATCTATTCAGGAATGAAGATAATTATCGATTTCGTCGACAAATCTGGGTTCAATAAAATTGCACCGTCTTCAAGCTGTTCTGAATCCTCTAATGAGCTTTGTGTAACATATGTATGTAAATATATGCAAATCTTATGATTGCGCAGATCAGTTTTCTCTCTCGGTACTCGTTATAGTTGACAAATGGCTAATTAGTTTATCAAACGCACATGGTATCATCCCATTTACACGCATCAGTCAGATTGACTTCGGACAAACACCGATTAGCATAAAAGGCGAATTAGTTCGGCACAATTATTAATTTTCGCTTATAGCAAAATTGTTGATTACGAATTACATGATTCGTTGTTTCTAATCCTTCTTATCGTACAACAAAAAAATTAATAATTCTATTCACTTTAGTAAGATGTTATATATGTATTGCTTAACGAGTTATGTGATCGTCGACCAATGTGCATTTCTATCATAATGCAGATTAAACTTTAATCTTTAACTTTTTATCTTTTTCTAATTTTTGAAACTAGAAAAGAAAATAAAAAGTAAATTAAATCGAGATTAAAATTAATCTACATTCGTAGAAAAATGGACATGAGTCGCGACTGGAATTCGATCGACGACGCTTTTAGTAATCAAATCTCACGTTTACCGCTGTATACTTCATGTTTTTACAAATAACACTGTGTATGATGATACTTTATATACGAAAGAAATTAATTTACGGATCGCGGCCGCATTCGATCGCTAAACGTGGGGTATGATTGCGCGGACCTTGTAATATCCACGATTCGGAAACATTCAGAATGAACATGAACATGAACATTTACAAATCAAAACGCGCGAATGCTCTCAGTGTTCCTAATATTTTGATTGATCTGTGACCTAGTCCAGATAATGTGCGTCGACCATTTCGTTCATCGTTAGTATAGTGTAATATCGTGCGTTATCGAAATAGAGAAAATAGACTAACAAAAAGATGCTGGATTAAGTCATTTTTAAATTCGAGCAATCACAATTCATCGACGGAGATATAAACAGAGAGTGTTAATAAAGAAAAATGATTTTCATCTTAATAGACGTTCTACAAAATGAAACAAAAACATAAATGATAATATCCTGGATTGCAGAGAAATTACACGACGAATTTTATTGTATGTATAAAAGGAAAAGTTTTATTTATTCACAAATGGTTGTGTTTTCGCTGACGTTGTTGTTATGTATTAAATATATTTTGATATACCCCAGCCTTTTATTCCGTTTCACCTCCTCGCGATAATTTTTTCGAAATTATAATCTTTAATTGAACTGAATTCTTAAATTTCTACATCGAATACATATATAACCTTTGACTCATATTTATAATTTCTTAATGAAAATGTTATGTATTTTATAAATATTCATTTTAAATTAATTTTGAATGGAAACGAGAAAATACTATATAATAATAATAAGAGATAAACGAAAAAATCTGATACTAATTCAGATGTGTTCCATCCGAAACAATGATCTTTTCGTAAGCTTTTTTAATCTTTTTCGTCGTATTTACGACGTTACTCTAAATGCGACTACCTCATCTGGCTCATAGTTATAATTTCTTAACGAAAATCTTATGTATTTTATAAACCTTTATATACATTTTAAATTAATTTTGAATGGAAACGAGAAAATACTATATAATAATGATAAAAGAGATAAACGAAAAAATCTGATACGTTACTCGGTTACTGGATACATCGTCTAGTTTCGTCCTAAGTACGCGACTGAACGGAACGCAACTTGAAAAACTTCTTGCAAAAATCATCTTTTATAAATATTTTCTAATTCTTTTTCGCGTCGGCAGTGTCGACACATATTACAGCGTTCTCTGTTGGCGTATCGTGTAAGCGCTTCGCTGCAAACTCCGAATTGCTCCGAATCGGTGTCCACAGTCCACAACGATCTTTCAGGTTATATTTACCTGGATACATTAAAAACACACGTATGTACAATACCTACAAGCGAATATTTCCAACAAACGACGAACATTCACGTTATCCTAGTGCTCGCTTAAAAATGCAAAAAGAAAAAATCACATCTTTCTGAATGAAGATAGCAATAAATTTTTGTAAGATTCTTACAATGTTAAGTTCTGTGAAAGTCTGAGAATCTCACACTCTCTTTCGGTATTATTATCGCAGGATTTGGGTAATATTAACTCGCCATTAAGGAAAAAAAATTAAATTTTACAGTTTGCGAACATTAAACTGACTGTGAAGTTGTTAAAACGTGTTTCATCTTCCAAATAGGTAGTTAAAAGCGAGGAGCATTTAATAAGATCTCTCCCCCTAGAGGACAAAAATTGTATAAAATATTGGTGCTCATTGCTGCTAAAAAAGTTAGGTACACGAGGCGACAGAATGAATCATTTACATACGGTTTTACTCCTGTTCATTGTTGCGGTAAGTAAGACAGAAAATATTACTTTGCACATAATAAACTGATCATATACTGTCATATACCCAAATTCCTTTTCTTCAAAATATCTTGCGTTTTTCTTAACGCATTTAAAAGCAACGCAATTACGCAACATACATCTAAAGAATGAATCACTGTAATATCTGTCGCCATAACGTCAACGATTAATTTCGCAGATGGACATTTCCGTCGCAGAGTTTTCAGCGGACGATTGCAAGATGCTAGGATTCAATAAAGCCAACGTGCTCTGCTCGACTTGTGAACATTTTGCCAAATCTGATCTAGAAAAGATTTAGTACGTAAAAATCCACCCCATCAAATACTTTATTAGGAGTCTCCCGAGTGTATCATGTATAAATCTCTGTGTTCTAATTTCCAGTGCTACATGTAAGGAATGTTGCCTAAAGGACAACGATTACGATTTGTCTGGATCGAAACGCTATCCTAAGGCTGTCCTCGAAGTGTGCACGTGCAAATTCGGGCAATATCCGCAAATACAAGGTGCGATCAAATACTTTTGATATAAAACTCGAGAACTGATTGGTGCAATGTTGCAACACAAAAATTTGGCACAAGTTCATGATTAATACGCTTCTTTTTAGCCTTCATCAAAAGCGACCGACCGAAAAAATATAAGAACCTCAGCATAAAGTATGTAAGAGGTTTAGATCCGATCATCAAGTTGTACGACGCGGAAAATAAGGTTGAAGATGTACTCGACATACACAAGTGGGATACAGACTCTGTAGACGAATTTCTGTCGACCCATCTTTCTAAGGATTAATAAAATTAGGAAATATATTGCATTAATACATGATCGTTTCTATTGAATTCTTAATAAACTATTCCATTTAATATGAATATTACATATACAGTACATGTATGTGATTACGTCTTATCTTCTACTGTCATATGTGTTCATATCGTCTAACATTCCAATTACCGCTTCCACATCCTTTGTAACAGAACAGTATTGTAAACCACGATATATAATAGTGTTTTAATTTTTTCACATTCCTTTAGAGCATATTTTTAAAATAGATACAAAAAAAAACCTTCTTTCGTTAAAATGTCCTATCCTTATACAATGAGAGTGCACAGATCAATCGTGATCTGTCTTTATATATAGAAACATTTTTTTATTATGAAAATGATCGAGACACTCATACATACGATTAAAGCAAAATACAAAATTGTAAAGCTATAACACCACCACTTTCAGCATTCCTTTCAATGTATAAATATTACATTGAAAAATGTAACGTTTATGAACCCAGTGATCTTATAAAAGAAGAATTCGAATGTTAAGAAATAAAGAGAACTCGTTTATCTTTGTTTAGGAACATAATGAGGTCGCAAACTCTCTTGTAGCCTTTTATCATTAATATCAATACATGATATAAGAATATTCTTATGGAGAACAAACCACAGGTATCTATTAATATAATATAAATGAATATAAATTTGACATTATGTATTTCGATTGCGTATATCATCATATTAGATGCGTGCTTAGATTTCGACGGAGACATCTGTTCACCTTGTTCACCTTTTAAAACATCCTGCTTCTTGATATCGTATACAATATGCATGATTAATTTCCTCTAATTATATTCGCAATTACGTGCAATATCGAATAATTTTCATCGTTTACATGTACAGAGTGGTCCTGAAATCGTCGGTCAAAATCAGGGATTATTTTTATTTACAGAAGTTGTTGGAAATGTCCACCGTTAACTAAAACACACGCTTCCATCCGTCTAACCATTGACTGTCTAACACGCTCAAAGATTCTTGGCGTATTTCTTATAATTTCGCAGCTGTTGATAATGCAATCTCGGATGCGTTTTTGAACCAACGTTTATGGGAACTTTTTTCATCTTTATGACGAGCCCAATCCAATCCCTGATTTTGACCAACTATTTCAGAACCATACTGTATAACGTCAGCAATTGCAAAGTATCAGAGAAAAATTATCATGCTTGTAACTAAAAGACCATCATCATTTATACAAAAAATCTAAATCCCTCGCGCATACATACCCTCTTCTGATACATGGTGCTAATGAAATAGGTCGTTCATAGTTAAGAACTTTTAATTAAGAACTTACTATCATATATGTTCACATGTAATGTTAAACGCTAATATAGTGTGCAATATTAATAAATAACATTAATATTACACGCTTCAATGATAAAAATGTGTTCTATCCGTTATCATTAAAATGTATCTGAATATGAAACACGCAATTGAATTTCCCTTAGATCGACGTACTTTTCTCGCGTTTACTTTCATATTTTCGTAAATCGCGGTGTTACCTTATCGCCGTGACCTCCTGGCACGCGGACCACCGCGACCGCGCCCGAATCCGCGACCTCTAGACTGCTTCACTTGAGGGCTGCGATTTCGTTCTATCTTCGGCAAAGGCTTTTCCGGTTCCACATGTTCTTTTTCTTCCGCCTCGTCGACCAGATTACCCATCTCAGTATCGTTGTCATTGTCTATATCCGTCCACATTTCGTCGACTGGTGTTTTTGCATCTTTTGTGTTAGTGGCGTTTTCTTGTGTGTTAGCGGTAGTTTCCTTGTCATTTTCCTTCGCATTTTCCTCCGCCTCGCGATTTTCCTCCTCCTCCGATTCGGCGGCATCGGCTTCCAATGGATCATACTTCTCCTCTCCATCCGATCTCTTCGGTGCCACATTTGCATTATCAGCACTATTCTCTTGCTCTTTCGGCTTATCATTATCTTCATTTTCATCATGACTGATCTTACGACGTTTCCAATGTACATCGGATTCGTCTTTATCTTCGACATTTTTCTCATTCTATAAACGCAATACAAGAATTTTGGTAGATGCCAAGATTTTTAAAATAAGCTTTCTTTACAAGCGATTTTTTTAATCGCTTACCTCAGCTTGTTCAGTTTCTTTCGATTCTGCAGCTGGCGCACTTGATGTTAACGATTTTATCTCCGCTACAAAGTTCCGGTAGTGCGTAATGCTGCGTAAATGAGCATTCATATCTTCAGCTAAGAGCATAAACCTTCGGCAACGCTCGCAGTAAAACCCTTGGACTTCTTTGACCATAGATTTACCTAAATAAATATAATTTCTTATAAAGATAGCATAGATGTATAAAGAGAACGCGCAAATTTTTTTTTTTTTTTTATATAAATTAATTTTAGATAAATAAAACTTATAACTTGTCTTAAATAATCCATACCAATAAAGATCTGATTTTGACGGCAATATTTGTAAGACGGTATTTTGAATTTCTTCTCAGTTATATTTTCTATAATATCCGTGATGTATTCTTGTTCTTCTGAATCCTCCTCTTTTTCGTTCTTCGCGTCATGACAAACATCTTTCTCCTCGTCTTCCGCGGTGCGAACCTCAGCTTCTCCCTTTGCCAGTTTGTCTACAAAAACAATTTATGAATTTAAAAATCTCTTCAAATTTATCGAAATTATTTCGAAAACAAACATTTTCTTTCATTCTTCATTACCTTTCTTTTTATTTTTCCGTTGCTCCTCGCACTGAACGGCATTCTTCATATGAGCGGGTGTTAAACAGTGCTCATCGTATTCTATGCGAGACGGGAATTCTTTTAGACAAGGGAAGCAGCGGGGATGCAAAAAGGTTTTCAATTGTTGATGCTTCTCGCTCTTTCTATGCGTAGACAAGGTTCCGTAAAAGTTCAGATCGCACATCGTACAATATTCTCTCACGTTGAAATCTACAGACACCTGCAATCAAAAGATCATAAATAGATACAAATACTATTACTATGTATGTGCCTCCAACTCTTTTCTAGGAGACATGATTCTTACTTTTTTCCCGCGTCGTTTCGAGTTGTTCAAGCTAAGTTCACGCTGCTCCTCGGCAACTCGCAGCTCGTGTCTCATCAGATCGACCTTCAATTTGTACGACTCGTCCAACTTTTCCATCATCAGCTGATGCGCACGTCCACGTAGGTGATTTTCAAAGGACTGTGAAAAAATATAAAAAGTTAGATACTGCTCGGCGAGTATGTAGATTTATTAATTTCATCAATGATGAAATGCTTACAAATCCATCCCACATATGCTTATTGCAAATGTGACAAAACATATGGTTCATCGGAACTTCGGCGTAACGACTTTCAGCGTGTCTAACTTCCGATTTCTTGCCAGTCACTTTTGTGTTTTCTTTATCGGTTTTCTCAGACGCATCTTTCGCCTCCTTCGATGGAGAATCTTCCGCTGCGGACTTCTCTACCTTTTTCTCGCTATCTTCCATTTTTTCATCTTCTGTTTTCTCAACTTTTGCTTCTTCCGTGTTTTTCTCATCCTTCCAATCGCGCTTCTTATCCTCGGACTCGTCTACGTCATTGCTGTTCATCACAAATAATCTTAATCTAGGATAAAATTCATGTTCCAAGAAAAGTTTCGTAATCGATTTGAACAGTTGAGCATGTTAAACTTGCTATGAAATTTTAACTTCCAATTATAAATTTAACTATGTAGCTTGGCAAGTCATAGTATTCATGTCGATTCATACAAAATTTTGTTTGTGAATCAAAAAATTGTATCAATATTTATATAGAAGTGTATAGGAAGATGTAACTCATACATCTTATATTTGAGTGTAGGATAATATATTATCGCCGATTGGAACACTATACGTCAAAATGCGTTTTGGTGAATGTACAGGGAGAAGAAATTACGAAAAGTAACAGCAAAATTTTAGCACTTTGGCCAATATTTGTGAAATATAAGTTAAATCGCATTGACAGTATAGAATAAACATATAAAAAGAAAGAGATACAGATAAGAGATATATAGAAATTTCTGAGACTGGTACAACAAAACATATATTAGCTAATGTTAATAAACATATATAAAATATATGTATATGTATACATGTACTTAGGCAAATAGTTCGGAGAGACTGAGACTTACTGAAATTTGAAGAAACTATACCAATCACAGGTAATCGGGAGCTTACCTTTTCGGAACAGGCGGTTCTGCTTTTTCGCTATCAGAGGTCTTAACATCCTGCTGTTCCTTTTTGGCAGTCTGATTTTGTTTAGAGGCAGGAATTGGTTTAGAAGATTTATCGTTGCGATGTTGTATTTGGTTTCCGTTCATACGTTGACTGCCAGACTGGGGTGCACGAGATTGTTGTGCGGATGGGCCACGTCGCCCAGCGGGGCCATCTCGGGCTCGATTGCCCATCTAGTTAAGTAGTAGAGGTCAAACGACCAAAAGCATCATGAGAAGTATCTGATGTAACTGTGATTCTTCTCAAATCGAGACACTGGTTCTAGAAACCACTTTGGGATTTGAGGGAGAGAACAGTTCTACAGTCGATAAATGGAAGCAGGACGGAGTCGGTGAGATACCGAAGCTCTTTCTTCCATTTCCACACCAAGTATGGAAGGAAAGGGAGAAAACTGTAGAGTGCATCCCGATTTCGAGTTGAAAATCGCATCGTGTATATACAGGCACGATCGCAACGATCATAAGATACGATCATAATTATAAAAAGTAGATATAATTATTTTTGCCACTAAAAATATTTGAGTAAAAAACTCGGTGAACGCTAATGAACGTGAAGAAGAAGTTAAATCAAGTGAAATATGCAACTCGTGTATATAAGTGGTAGTAAGTAGTTTTGAATAAAGTGCAACCACGTTGATTTTAGTGTATCACATTAGCGGACAGAAGACTCTGGTTACGCAGATTGTAATGTGAGACAATGTTCAAATTCGGCCCTGCAAAAACCTTCAGTGAACTTCCAGTAGTAAATTGAGATTTACATTCTGAAATCAACACACGTGTTTCAACAGTGCTCTTTTAATGAAATATTTTTATGGACGATATCTAGAAGCCGTTTCAGGCAATGCTGATCCATCAACAAGAATTATTTATATCTTAGTGATTTCGTTGGCCGTGTCTAATCGAGTGAGCGATAATATCCTATTTAATCGATCGGCTCAAGAAGGGGAATTTGTAACGTTCCGAATAATTAAAGACAGTTTGTGTCCATGCGAGGAAGCGTGGACTACAGATTGTCATTTTATAACTCCTGTTTACGATACAGAAGAAGATCGTAAGCAAGTGTTAAAAGAATTGCTTTAAAGATTACCTTGGCTTAAAGATTACCTTTGAGAAAAAAAAGCATCGCGTATTCTATCGAAATTGCTTACCTTATTGTATGGCTGAGGACGTTGGTTCTTCATGGGATGCCGTGCCACACGATCGTTAAATCGTCCGGAGGAATAGTTCTGTTGATTAGGATAATTCGGTCCTGGTCCAGAATAATTATTTCCCAGACTCATTAGAGACGGCACCTGGATCAAAATGATGGGATTAAAAATCGAGTCCGGGGCATGAAAACAAAATTATCAAGCGGAGAATCGTCAAGCGATCCTCGTACCTGCGGCTGCGACTCTTGCTGACTGCGAAGTAGATTTGTAAGGAGGTTGCTGGCGATCGCTAGCTGTGCCTGCGGCGATGCCAGGGAGAGATTGTTGTTGGGCGTAGGTAGAATGCCTCTGCCAGGCATCATGCCACTCTCCCAAGGATTCATTCCACCCATGCCGCCGCTCCCGCTCATTCCGCCACCCATGTTACTTCCCATGCCGCTGTTATTGCCAACTCTGTTACCACCACCGCCTCCGGTATTACCACGATTGAAATTTCCTCGATTCCCGAAGGAATCCCTCTTCACTCCTCGATTAAATGACATTGTGCTTCTAATGCTGGACAAACATTTGGAAACAATTAATCTTGGATATCATCCTCACTAGGAAGCCAATTTATGTGGAACATTCCGCAATGGTTTTTGAAAAATTTAAATTCTTTGTGTTCATATTTTCTCTTTTCTTTCCCTTCTTTTTCAAATAATTATTTAAAAAATCTACGAGATATTAGAGCTCAACGTATCTTGAATTCTAAATAAATATACTTTGCAAGCACATCTTGTTTATATATAACACAAAATTGCATTAACAGAAGTTAGGAGTCTAAAATCTTGGTCTCAAGAGCAATGATAATAAAATAATACACACATCGGTGCGTGTATGTATGAGTATGGATGTGTTTGTGTTGTGTGTGTGCGCGTGTGCGTGCGTATGTATGTATGTGTGAAAAAACGAACGATTAAACGAAGCTCGTCTAATTAAAAATTCAGCATTGCAGTAGAGAAATTTTGCAATGTGGAGCAAGTAATGTGGAAAACGTAATAACAGGTGAAGCACGCGTAATACTATTATACTATTTTGTATCGAAAGCTCCGCGAAGCGACGTGGCGGATGACAAACGCTTGTCCATCACCGAAACTCGCAATCGCGAGCCGGACTTCCGCGATATAATTCGGTGACGTAGTCGACAAACGAGCCCTAATGTAGGATGTAGCGAGATACTAGTACATGTGCGTTACGGAGAAGTATCCAATTTCCTTACCAAAGCGGCGACGCTAAGCGTAATGTGGAGAGAAGCCGACGGGAAAGATCGGAGCAAACGAAACGAAACGCAAATGAATGCAGCGAACGATTGCAAATGGCGGACCTCGTCGATCACCGCGGCGCGAACCATGGAGTTGAGGAAGATCGTCGTGCCGTCATCGCAATTCTTTCAAACATGCTTATTGGCCACATGTGGTCGATTGGTCGATTGTGTATCTTTTGATACGAGGTGAAAATTACAAAAGTGAAAAAAATTACTAGAGTATCTATACGATTTTATTTGTCGAAAACTTAAATCTGTTCATTTTTGTAATTCTTTCATTTTGTTTCAAGATACACAATCAACTCCCCTGAATAAAGTATATATATTCTCGATAACTCCAACAATTGATGTCCATTTCTACCAATGCAGAATATATATATAACTTTAATCTCGATTTAATTTATTTAAAAATTTTTAAGAATTAGAAAAAGGTTAACAAGTAATTAAGTTAAATCGAGATTAAAGTTAATCTACATTTGTAGAAATAAACATCTGTTTAAATAATTTGAGAAATAAAAGTTAAGGCCCGTTTGGCACACGGAGAATTCACGCTGCATATCCAACGTATGTATGTATGTACACATGCCATGTCTGATATACGATAACCAATGAGAAGAACTTTCTATTAGGAATAAAAGAATCCCTAGAGAACACGCGTTCCCATTGGAACATCGCGCGTATGAACTCTCCAATTATCCGCGTAAATCTGAAATATATGCGCGTAAAAACCGAGCTAAATTAGGGCCAGTTTCACCATATCTCCGATTAATTGTAACCTAATAACTTTTGATTAAACTCACTTTTCGTCTCTTTCTAAAAAACAATTAGAAAAAGATAAAGAGTGAGTTTAATCGAAGATCAATCGACGTTGGTGAAACTGGCCCTTATGTCCATTTCTACCAATGTAGATTAACTTTATGTAATCTCGATTTAGTTGATTTGTTATCTTTTTCTAATTTTAAGAATTAGAAAAGGATAATAAGTGATTAAGTTAAACTGAGCATTGGAATCTACATTAGAAATTGACATTAAACGTTTAATAAACGTATTATACGACATATATTTCTATCTTAGATAAATCTACTATTTCAATTACACTCAATAAGCCAGATAACGCTATAAACAATACTTTAAAAGCACGACGGATTTTCTCGGTCCCTCGCATAAATAATAAAACTTTGAAGAATTAAATATCGATATCATCATTATATTATGTCATTATGTATTCATTTGTATTCTTAATGATATAAAAACGATTACAAAAAAACGACACGTCTGCACTCATATGTCATATCCTTCAGAGACATGACTAGCTGATTTCGCGCATTGTCCACGTGCTTCTTTTTTTTTTAAACTTGTTTGGACAGGACTTTACGTAAACAATTTTTCTATTTACGAAATCTTCGGGAACCTACGAGATAATTCAAACGATTCGACTATCGATCCGGTAAATTATTTTGCTTTCGAGCGCACGCAGCCACGCAGGCACGCCTGGCACGCACATGCCATGCGATCATTGCGATCCTGCGATCTGCGTCGTCTGTCACATTGTCGTGGCATCTTTCAAGCTTTCAACAGCATTAGCACGAGAAATTGTTTCTTCCCTGAGTTTGGCTCTTCTACAGTTCTAAATAATGACCACGTTGCACACCGACAAGGTAAAAAAAAGAAAGAGAACGGAAAAATAAAATAAAGTTCTTATTTTGTCGATCAAAGTCATGATCGAGCCGGTCTCCCTAACGGTTATCGCGAGACAAACAAGTATCTTTCGTAATTGTGCTTATTCATTCTCGTTATCGCTGCGCTAAGCACTGTTCAAGGTGCACAAGGTGCGTTCTTTCCACGACATTTATTCCCGGTTTAAAGCAAGTCCGGAAAAAATATTCTACGTTTAAAATTTCGAGACAGCTCGAGGAGGCTTTATAGAAATTTGTCGCGCGAGGTTTTCGTGGTTAAAAACGATGAATTATGTCCAATAAAATTATATTACGCGTTATAGAACCTTGACGTAGATATTGCTTTATTTTTGCGAGAAAACGAGAAGATCCGTTACACTTGTGGAAAAATAATTGCAGCCTTATTTTATTATTTTATTAATAGTAATCAAAGCAAATTTTTGTCTAAGATGGATGAAAATGTGACGCCAAAGCGGCCAGAGACGCCAGAATCGCTAGAGACACCAGAGTCGCCAGAGACAGAAGCACAGGACGTTTCTATTCAGGAATCTAATTGCAGTGAGAATTCCAAGGATCTTTCAATGGAATCTCCTCTGGAGGATGAACAGTGGTTAGATATACTTGGCAACGGTCAGCTGAAGAAGAGAGTTGTAAAGAAGGGCGAGCAAAATGTAAAGCCACAGAGAGGCGATATATGTACAGTAACGATTATGGGTGTACTTGACAGTGGTAAAGTGGTGGAAGAACATGTAGATAAGCAGATACAAACAGGAGACATGGAAGTGGTACAGGTATTATAACTGTCATTAGAATTTTGTCACTTATGTCGCAATTGTTATAGTATCTTGTTCATATAATAATGAGATTCAACGTGCAGGGATTAGATCTAACGATTGTATTGATGGAACTGGGTGAAATTGCTGTAGTTGTAGTCGATCCTAGATTTGCGTATGGCACACGTGGAACAGCATCTATACCATCTAACGCTACTATTACATACACGGTTGAATTGAAGGAAATAAAAGAGGAGCCTGAGATAGAAACTCTAAGCATTAATCAAAGGAGAGAAATAGGGTAATAGTTTTGTTTATGAGCCATATACGTGAAGATCACTTATTTTCTGCAGCCAAGTGCTGTTCAAAGATAAGGCTTTACGTGATTTATCTTTTTAACTTCTTTGCATCATGTTGTAATTTATTTCTTTACAGCAACAAGAAACGGGAACGTGGAAACTGGTTTTTTATGCGAAAAGACGTTAATCACGCGATACTATGTTATCGGAGAGCGTTACAATATCTACTCATAGACGATGATACAAGATGGAATAAAAATGAAGAAACAGAGACGGTTAGCGATACTGAACTGCAAGCTCTGTTAGATGATTGTGTAAAGGTGTATAACAATTTAGCAGCTGCACTAATTGAAACTGATGCCTACCACTCAGCTTTAGATAATGTAAACAAAGTTCTAAAGTATCAACCAAACAATACGAAAGCTCTGTACAGAAAAGGTAGTAAAAAATCTTGCCTAAAGTTTTTTTTTTTTTTTTATAAACCAACTTTTTTAAATATCCTTAATTCATACTTTATATGATAAAAGTACATATTTTTCTACATATATATGTATTATTTACAGGAAAAATATTCAAAATCCAAGGACACTATGGAAAGGCTTATCTAACTTTTCTTGAAGCACTAAAGATAAATCCAGAATTGTGGTCGGTAAAGTTAGAATTGGCGAGTTTAAAAGAAAAAATGGCAAAACAGAATGAGAAAGAAAAGTCTCTATATGCTAAAATGTTAGGTATAAATAAAGAATCTGATAAGCCGTCAAAGGATGTAAAGGTAGAAGATAAAAGTAAAATTGCTAAAGGAATACTATGGACTCTGCTTGGAGCATCTGCTGTTGTCGTTGGCATGCTTGTACACAGATTTGCATCGTGAGAAAGAAAAAAAAAGGAATAGAAAAGGCAAACCAGCTAAGAAGGTGCAAAATAAGTTGTATTTTTTGTGTTAATAACAGAATTATATAATTAAATATATTGTGAATTTTTATAATTATACAAATATTAAATTATATATTTTTAACAATATTTCTATATGTAAGTATATTTGAACCAATAAATGGTAAACATAAATTCAAAATCTTGCAAATAGTTATATGAAATAACTGTTTTATGATAGTTCAAACATATATACATATTTACATATTAGATTTTATAATATATTATTAAAAATTACAAAGTGCAGTTTTCTTTATTTTAATTATGTTTAGTATATTCTATTAAAGAAGTACACATTGTTAATTAAATATAAACGCATTATATCAAATTCTTGAGTTCTTCCGCAGTCTTTAAGAGACGTATCTAAATAATGCATATACAAATTAAAAATATCGTATATATGTATAAGTACGAGTTATTTTCATTTTACAGGTACATTGTTGAATAAAAAATATAATAGGAAAATAATCCAAGAGGGGAATTCTTAACTTTTAATTGGCTTAACTGACCGGAAGTTCAGCTGTATATAAAATCTACATCTGTATAAATAAAATAGTAACAATTGAATTTAAAAACTAATCTCAAGTGCTTAATAATTATTATTTTTATTTGTCAGTTAAATATAAATTAAATCTAGACTAATGTACGCATTATATAAATTTCACATTTGTTATTTTTTATTTATGTAAAATAATTTTGTATTTAATATAGATTAACTTAGTGTTTATTTTTATTTCTTAATAAAATTTGCAATGTTTGTATTTTAATGAAATAAATTTTATATGATATAACTCTGAAAATATTGAAATGTTTGCTTATTGTATGAGGTAATAAAAATTCTCTATTTTGAAAGAACATATATTTATTCATATTTAAAAATTAAAATAAAATGTTAAATTACATCTTATAAAAAATATATTTTATAAAATTTAATAACATATTCGTTGTTAACAAAAAATAAATAGATTCATATTTATTTTAATAAAATACGATGATATTTTAAATTTAAGCAACCGCAATGAAAGTTAAACAATATACATACATATTCTGCTATATAAATCTTTAAATATTAAGAAATGCTGGAAATTCATGAGTTAAATAATTTTCTATCGTTTCCATTTTACTATTATTGTTCACAAGCGGAAACGAGCCTTCAATATTTTCCAATGATATCTCCGAATAACTTGTATTGTCACAATACATTTGATCAGTGTTCAAAAGACTACTTTGAAATTCTATATCTTGATAATCCGGTAAATTCAATATTTCATTGCAATTTGCTTCAAACTGATCAACGAGTTCATTAGTAGGTAACAATTCCAAATTATTGGTGATTTCTACAGTAAGCACTTGTCCCGTATTTACATCTACTAATGAAAGAACTTGTGGGATAGAATCGACGGTAGATGAATTTGTAAGTTCCAACGACAAGTTAGGGCATTCGGGATTTTCTTCAGGATTTAATAATGGTTGTACTTGCAGTTGCGAATCAACTGCCTGTTTCTTTTCATTTGTGACTGAGCAATCTCTTTCTTTATTCTTTGAAATTGATTCGCATCCTTTTCCGGTTTTTATTTTATTAGTTTCTGATCTGTTTGGTTTTTCTGGTACTGGCACAAGATGACCATCTTTTGTTTTCATGAGCTTTACCACCTGTTTGAAACAGTATATGAATACATATCGTGTACAAAGTACAACAAGTAAGAGTTAATAGTATTCTTTTTTACCTTTTTCTTTTTTTCCAGTGTAATTCTGTGACAGGTTTCCATGTGACGAGTGAGGTGATGCGAGCGTTTGAATGCGGTGCTACATTGCATACAGGCAAACGGCCGATGCTGCTCGTGCGACAATTTATGTCTCTTCAGTAAGCTGTTTCTCTTAAACGCTTTGCCACATTCTTCGCAGATGAATTGTCGCTCCTTACTGTGAATGTAAAGTACATGATCCTTGAGAATGCTAACGCTGGTAAACGTCTTGCCGCAATGCTCGCACACGATATTCCGCTCTTCAACATGCAGTTGTTTATGCCTATCTAGATCCGTCCTTCTGGCACACTGAAACGTGCACCCATATATATTACAGGCGAATCGCTTTGCGCCCTTGTGAATGCGTCTGATGTGTTGATCCAGGGCTCTCTGTGTGAGCAATCTTTTCGAACAGATCGCACAGGAAAATATAGCCCTTACAGGTACATCCCTGTTGACTTTATTAAGATGTAACGCAGACTCCAAGTGTCGAAAATAGTCGTCTTTCTTTGCGAACGTGTGTCTACAATCGGCACAAAAATATGGCCCTGTAAAATAATATTATTAGATGATAAATAAATAAAAGAAAAATCTTGTTCATTATTAATACAATTTTAATATTTGTTACCATTTGTCGAATCTTGCTCGCTTAATTTTGGGCTGTGAACCACCTTGAAGTGTTCGTGCGCTTTCTTCTTCGACGCGAAAGTAATATCGCAGCGTGGACACTTGTAATTGTCATGATTCTGAATGTGGTACAGATACGTCTGCTCGATACTGAACGTTTGGAAACATTGCTGGCATTTGAATCGCCTCTTCTTACAGTATTTCTCCTCGTGCTCCTTTTCGTCTGTATCCGCGCTTATCATATCTCCGCATTCCGGACATACCTTACCGCCTTGATAACTGTGCTTCGCTCGATGACGGTTCAGAAGGGCACGTTTAGGAAAACTTTTCGGGCACACGTCGCATAAATGAGGATGCCTGACCACCCTTTCTCCGTGCGCGCGAAACAAGTGAACTTCTAAATGCTTTCGTCTGGCGAATTTGTCGTTACAGTGAGGACAATTATTTTTCTGATGACCCTCCAAATGACGATCCAAATGTCTTTTATATCTGAATGTCATTAGGCATTGCTCACACTTCTGCATCTGTTCGTTTCCATCTGACAACTCCAGATTACCGATTTTTATTTCACGTTTCAATTCGGATGTGATACTTTGATTTATACAACCGTCGTCTTTGTTGATGTTAGAATTTGAATCCATATTATTTCCTGCGTAAGGTTCGACAGAACAGTTGTAGTTCCCTATTTTCTTTCTTTCTAAATGTTGATCTTTATCAGATGTACAAAATTCATTACTATTAACAGTTATTGTTACATCATTCGATTCTTTGCTCGAGCAATTTGAAAAATTCGAAAAGTTCAGGCTCATCGTGTTGAAATGTTGACTCGAATGTGAAATACTAACATCGGTTGATCGGTCTTTCGTCTTTCCCTCTTTGCTCTTTGCAGACTCTTCGGCATTTTGCAGGAGGAGGCTTTCAATTTTCATGAAATCAATGCTATTCAAATTAACATCGTCCAGACCGTCGTCTCCCTGTAAACCAATGTCTGTGGCACTTGTGGGAGCGACCACCAGACCAACCTCAGAGTTCTTACTCTCGAGGCTGCCGATGCATTCTCTCAGATAATCATAGCTGTCCATCTCGCCATTCTCCGTGCCCACGTTCGGGACAGCATCCAGGGTCGAGTAATCCTGGGGAAAGGTGGATGAAATATACAATACGAAAACTGTTAGACGACATCCAACGCGACAATTGCGACGGTATATCTCATAAAAGTAACTTTAATAGTTCAATAGGCACCTCACCTGGCTGTCAAACAAACGTAGCGTCATCATTTCGGACCGTGAAGATTTAACCGATATTTGCACGAGAATGCGATTGTTTTATATGTAGTAGGAGATGTGCTACATTTAGCTTGTTAGTCGGTTGTAGAAGGATTATGCCGAATATCTCCGTGAAATTACGCCAATTCTTCAAAACATTCGTCGGGTAATCGCATGACGCATAACCTAAAAAGCGCTGTGCAAAAAGCCTAAAAATGTCCATATACTGCAGATATACATGTCGCGTATGCATATTGGAAATATGGATAATCGAACTATTTACTTTATTCGGGACGAAAAAGAAGATTTAAAAAAAATAATAGATAATTCTAATTAAATTGTTCAGCTACGATTTGCATAAGTAAGTTGTTAATCTACGAGATTGATGATATTCAAAAATAATCGCTTTTCGCGACAGATTTCAATCGAATAAATTTCGTGAAATACGCATTTCTTATTTTGTCATCGATACGCAAACATTGAATTTGTGCGATTATTAAATATTAAAGCATATATATTTATTTATTATGGCTTCTCTCAGATATCTTATGCTTGCGCCAAAGTTAAATCGAGGCAAATTGGGTATAAAATAGAGCAGAGATTTCTTGATAAAAAATTGAAAATAAAGATATATATTAATCAGAAATTAATTAGAAAGATGCTATATCGTTGAATCTAGATCGTCAATATATGCATTTTGCAGGATTTATATATTCGAAGAGTGCAATTTTATTTATAAACTTCGTCTTCATATATCTTATTCGGACATTCCATTTCGCAGTTATTCTAGACATATATATTATAATTCAAACAGCTGATAAAACGCATAACTATTTGAGAAAGTTATTAAAAATTTTTTATTATATATTTTATTTTTGGAAAAAATAGTTCGCAGTGGTCTAATTGAGTCACGTCGTAGTTATCGACCGAGGTGCGCGAAGTTATCGACGTGGCGCGGCGCAGCGCGCGGCGTTAACTTTCGAACTTCTCAATTGGCAGGCGTCGCGGACACGAAACGGATCGGCGCCGCGGCGTCGTGTGTAGGGTCGGCGTTGCGACGCGTTTAATTAGTGAGTAACAGCCCTAATTGACGTCGATATTTCAATATTTGACAATAACTCGATGCAAATATAGCGTTTGTATATCGGTGACACGCTTTGAGACGCGTATATATATTCGTGAGATTCCGATCGAAATTTGTCACGCGAGCGGCCGGCCGACAAAGCGACGACCGTACTTTCAAATATTTTCCATTTCACGGACGTTTATTTGATTCCAACGCGCATATTTATTTCCTCGCATTATTATACAAGATATTATGCAATAATCGCCATAAAATGCGAGAGTACGTTTGTAACTTAATTGTTCTTTGCGCGAAGCATCGAAAGAATACGCAAAAATACATAAATAAAGGCAGTAGGCCTGTTCCGTTTTAGGCCTGAACTTCTTGCACTTTCCTCTTTTTCTTTTCACGTTGGAGAGAAAAAGAGAAAGGATGAACTGTGCAAGAAATTCAGCTAAAACGATCAGGCCATTTCGAGACGCTACCCAACGCATACCCCCTTCCACCCTTCCCCAACGTAGCGTGAGCGGGTAGCGTCTCGAAATGGCAGTGGCACCACTGCATACAGGCTGCCACCCGCCATAGACGCGTCATCGCCGCGACGATGGTTGCTCCTGTCGCGTGAAGTTAACCGCGCGACTTTCGAATTTCCTGTACTCCGTACTCGAGACTCGTATCAACACGTTCGCGAGCGCGCCGAGTGAGCCGTGTAGGCCGTAGTTTCGCGCGCTTGTACTTTCCTCGCGTTAATACTCCGTCTCGACGAGAAATAATAAGGTACGCGTCGCGTGTCGGGAGTGCCGTGCAAAGTGCCGCGCGCCTGTCATGTTCGGTTAGTATACGCGCGCGATCGTAATTCACTTGTCTCGCGAGTGCCGTGTGTGATTCGTGTGAACGCCATGAAAGGAGACAGGGAGCGGAGTAAGGGCCAGGAGGGGAAGGAGGCCGGGGAGGCGTCGGGCGACGTCGGAGGAGCTACGGGGTGAGTGAATTTATCATTTGTTTATTTATTCTTGAAGAATTAGCCTGAGTAGTTGCGGTAACAGTCTAATCTCGTCCCGCTGGAATCGTCTTCCAATTGTATATGACAATATTGACATTATTGACAATGATCCGATCCGAGCTTGTTTCAATACCCGCAAGGTGGTGTATCAATGTCGAAGCAGGATCGTACCGATATTTGAACATGATCGATTATTATGTGATCATTCCTATTTAGAGTTTATTGAAGGATGTTTGAGGGCGATAAAATATTTTTTTTTCAAATGTTATATCTATAATATGAATAAAATCTTAATTCTCTTTAAAATTTTAATTGTTTTCCCCGGCGAAGACTGCTTTGCAATATCATTTATGTAATATGATGTGTATTACGTATAAAATATTTTACATTATTTTAAGACGCTTGAAAGATATTTAACAAAATATTTACAATATATGAAATGTTTTATTAAATATTAATTTATGTAATATTTTTTATCCAATTTTTTACGTAACTACATAATATTTTACCATGTTGAAGTTACAATTCTTTAGATCGTTTATATAAAAATTGGTGATATTTATTTATCAAACGTCATGCAATTCCTTCATTAAGCATCCGATCAATGAACGAATAAAGAAAGACAGTCATAAACATGGAACGTCGTTTACGTGAGAACGCGAGCGCATATTTTTGAGGAGAAAATACTCGATAGCCAGAAGGAGTGACAGAAATATATGTTCGGTTTATTTCATATGCACCATCGTGTATTTCACATTTAGCTATTAGAACTTTTTTTTTAAATATTGTAATTTTGAACGATACATTTACATATACGTCATAAACACATAAAGTTTTTACGCTGGGGATTAACTCTTTCGGCAGAGGTACTTTCGACTCAAGGCCAGACGGCCGAATTTCTCTTAAAATCTGCGACAGCTCGTATAATGTATATATTACATGTATATGCATATATTCGCCGCCACTTCGCATTCTGTGCTTTGTGAACATGCGTCTGAACTTCCTTACAAGGCAAAGACTCTTACAAGCTATGATATGTATCTTTTTTTTGTGTGCAGTTCACAAAATACTTCCTTAGTCCAGTTCCTTAGCCCGACTAATTAGATTAGTTAAGAGAAAGAAGATATTCAGGCAGAAATAGAAACTGTTGAGAAAATGTGTATACATATATATGTATATATACACATATATATATGCGCATATATACATACACACATAATACATGCCATCTGTGAAATTATATATACAGATTATAATATATAAAATATTCGTAGACAATTATAATGAATTATATAATATTGTTTTATATCTATATAAGGGAGGAGATATGTCTTACAACATATGCTATAAATAATTGTAATACGTGTTCAATATCTAGTAAGAAAATTTCTTTCTGCACGCTTGCGGATCGAATAATAAAATTTTAATTTAACATATTTATAATATTTGTAATTAATTTCATACAATGCAAATCTGATGGCACTGTACACGATTGGATAAAGACGAGTTTTATAATTGAAAATTTTTTAAGGTCTAAGATATCTCATATATCGAATGTTGATATTTTTCGGGAAATCATCCAGATTGTAGCGTTGATTGAATAAGACGTATAAATTATTACGACTAGCCATCAATCCGCATTGACAAATAATGTTACATCTGCAATTTAAGACGAGAAAAATTTACGCTTAAAATGAGTAAAAAGTCTTCATTGCAAGTTCATTATATACGTATGATAGAGCAGGGCGGATATGTGAATGTGCGTCATGTGTATGTATGTGTGTGCGTGTATTATGTGTGTCTGTATGTGTGTGTATATATATTATTTTATAAGTGTATAATATATATATATATATTATATATATATATACGCCTCTCGAGAAAATATATGAATATTGTGTAAATATATAGAGCTTAGGTATACACATACGGATCAAAGATAAAAATATAATTTCGATAAGATAATACATCTTGTAATTAACACTCATATTTTATAGAATTCTCTTAAATGCATTAGGCATTTCGTATGATATGTTTTGAGTTTTCTTACACAGGTAGATTAACGTTTCGGGAATAGTGGAGGAGAATCGAGAGATAGTGGAGGATTGATAATATACGTCTTCAGGGGACTCTCTTGACGATTATAGCACCAATGGTGTGGAAAGCAGCGGCTCGCTGAGAGCTTTTTCTTTTCAGTAATAAGACAAAGGACAGGACAGGTTACTACTGAGATTAGAGCATTTTTGCTGCCATTCTTATTTGCTGTTGTTGATATGTTGTTGCATGCGAACGCGATTTCGAAAAACACTTTTTAACACTGCGTCTCCCTCGATTACGCTTGAAACATCAATGCAATCGATCTCAAACGATTATTACTTAAACATTATACTTTCTCTGACGACAGATAACGATTAATATTATAATGAATTTTTTCACAGAGTAATATTTCACATAATATAGCCACAGACAATGTGTATCGTACATTTATTATTACGATTTCATTAACGTTAGTACAATTAATAGAGCGATTTCCGCGATATTACTACTCGACAGAGAGTGATTCCCGAGATTAATGTTTAACAGAGCGATTTCCGCGATTTTTTTTTTTTTTAATAACTTGTGTTTACTTTAATAACTTCCCCTCTTTGGTACTTGCTTTAGGATTTTATTTTCCTTTAAACGAACAATATACGCACATCTATATTTGCCACTAAGAGTTAAAGTGTCTCTTCTTTCCCATCGTCATTGTATATGTGTATATTTATATATAACGCTATATCTCTGAATATAAGATGCCGGAGAAAAACTTTTCTCTCTTTGATATGTATCGTTTACAGTGGATAATAATCCTTCTACATTCTAAAATATGTCGTTTTTCAACTCCACAATGTGACTTATTGTTAGATTACGAGTACAATATACACACCGACAGTGTGCCAAGTTCTTTTTAGAGAAGGGTAGGGATAAATGTATTCGACGTAGAGTCGAGTTAAACGTCTAAGTACGATTCCTAAGGGTAAACTCGAAACATCGACCGGATTATAAAGGTACTTGCGCCTTTTTCAGCTCTCTCTTCCACCAGTAGAAAATACTTCTCCGCCATTAAAACCGTCTGACTGACACCTCGCGTTTCTTACGACGTCCGCCGGACGACCGTTCATAAAATGGATAAAGAAAGATAAATATATCTGCGATCTGTGCGTTTGAATAATCAACGGGACGTGCAATGGCGGACTTATGGATAACCGGTTTCTCGGAGCATCATTAGAAACCTCTGACAGCTCTCCCAAATCGTTCGGCTGATTTATGACCGTTTGTGCTTGAATCCTTCATATTTCAGTAATAAAATGGAAAATATTTTCGTAAATATTATTTGGCTCTGGTAAAAATGTTATTTCGCTTATTTTATTTGAGCCTTAAATCCGCCATTGCAGAAGATTTCTCTCGTCACGTTCTGCTGGCATCCCGTCTTATTGGAATCTCTCGATCCCCGACTATAAGTCAACTTACAACTTACACCGCTTACAATGATAGCTCTGTTCCTTTTAGCTGCATTTTCTTCGTTTTATTATTCAAAATCGCGAAATACATTTTTCAAACGATATAGATGTTAAAATTTTCAAAAGAAGTCCAAAAGACATCTCAAATTTAAAGAATGTCTCTTTTAGAATTATTTGACTGTGTTTTTGATCTTGGGTTTTTATTTCAATATACGTTTTAACTCTCAGAAACTCTTCTCGCATATCATTTTCTCTTTATGGCTGCGTTCGCTTTGGGTGCTTTCGTGCTGAAAGCATCACTCCATCTTTTTTCAACATATAATGAGCAATAAAGATAGACTGACTTTCAGCTCGACAGCGCCCAAAGCGAACGCAGCCTATGTAAGATTATTTTCGTTACTATATCAATTTCGAAATTTTTATATAAATTTCGACTTTATATTACACATGAATATACATATATGAAAATGCAGCTCGAAAGCATAGCTTTTCATGCAATTTGATCATTATCATTCGCGGTATCGACATTGAAATTCTCGCATCGTTGAAAGATATCTCGTTGCGATGCAACGGCATCAGCGGTCGTGATCTATATTGTTTTACTGCTTCAGAAATTCTCGAAAGATAGATTTTGTCGAAATATCATAGCGAAAATATCGTTGATTAATAAAATAAGAATATAGTCAATGTTGACACTGCGACGATAACAAAGACTTCATTTCTTTGTGCACGCCTCTCATTTACTTTATCTTATTTCTATAACCTTCTATGACTTATCGCGAACAGTTAAGTGCTTTATTAATTTTTCTCTAATTCGAAAAAAAAGCTCAATCGGTAGACCGATACACAAACCTTCTCTCAAGCTCCTCGTATACCTTACCTCTATATCATTAAGAAACATCTTTGTCGAACAGCGCTCTTAAACATCAGCGCACTCTCCCTTATCACGACTACGCTAGCGTGTCCCTTATCCTTAGAGACCTATAAGACGGCTTACTATGATATGTGTTTATAGGTTTTTCAGTCGCGCTATATTCGAAGAAGAATCATCTTCGAAGTAACATCTCCCCGAGTAACATTTAATTTTGCCACTTTTGTCGCACGCTATCGCCATACTTCCCGGTGTATCGTGGCGTGGAGTAAAGTTAAGGACTAGGAAGAAGATCGAGATAATGTCGAATCGACAAACTTAGACCTAGGTATCTTCACAACGACTAAAGGAGGATTTGATTTTCTCGTAACTTATCTTATACTGTATACTTCCCATCCGTCGTGATGACGAGCGAGCGTTTAGGCGAACGGCATCCGTTTGTACAGGCGGTTGCCCTGTCCGGTGATCCGTTTCTCGCCGGAAGTGTATTGGATCACGGACTTTATCTGATCCGTCGCCACCGGGCCGATGCAAACCAGGGGGTCTTTGAAGTACGAGCAAACCTGTTCCGAAATATTTCCATAATTATTAGAATTATTAAACGAATTATTAAATTGTTCTACCTGGCAAAGTATATTAAAAGAAATTTATTTTGTGGATCATTTCTTTTATCACACAATTCCGCGCCAAAAAAAAAAATTATTTTGAATACATTTCTTGAAATACATTTTTCAGAATTTTAAACCTAATTATAACGCTTTGCAATTCAAATAATAGATAAATATTGTTACCTTTCTAGGAGTTTGCCGGTGTCGCCTTTGTAATTGGCAGCATAGTCCGCGGCTGATGTCACACTCGTTCGACATAGTGCACTCCTCATCTGTAAGTACATCACATTTGCACGATAGAATCTTTTTATAATCTTATAGAACTGTACATTCTATTTTTTGAAAGAGCAAAATATGTATGCTCGTCAACGCACTGTACAACTTGCTCGAAGTGGTTGGTGGTTGACACGATTTTGTTTCGCGTCCAGCCATCTCGGTACACATTAAGCCAGTTTCACAATCGCCATCCCGTCTGCAAAGCTCGCCTTGTTTCATGCCGAAATCGTAGATGCATGTTCCAACAACTGGAATATTACACTCGCGATTATCTTCTTATCGACAATACGACGAGAAATAGATTATTTTTTTTACTATATAATCTTTTATTTTTTGCTGATCAAGAAGTTTTAATTAATTAATAAGAAGAAACTTTTAATTGCGGGATGTTTTCTCTTTTGATTTACCTCCATCGATATTCACGCAAATGGAACCCGGGCAACAGTGGTCATTGTACGCGCATTTCCTTTCGTAGCAAGGTTCTTCCGTTGTTTCGATTCCTTCTCCGTACGCGCCACCGTATCCTTCCTGAAACGACTGCTTTATTTAAAATCTAAATGCTTGATTTAGGATCAAATACATTTAGTAATAAATTTTGAAATCGCGAAATAATTCGTCAGGAAAAACTACACTGAAAAAAACAATACTTAGATCCAAGAAAATATTTTTTTACATAGTGAAGCCAATGGCTTATTTATTTAATATAATCACATATTTATTTAAAATTAGATATTTTTACTTAATTTAAGTCAATGTCTCGTGGCATCTTGTCGCATCTTGTGGCCACAAGATATTTTTACTTAATTTAAGTAAAGATATCTCATTCTAAATAAATATGTGATTATATTAAGTAAATAAGCCATTGTGGTACTATGTGAAAAAATATTTTCTTGGATCTAAGTATTTTTTTTCAGTGTAAAAGTGGGGTAAAAAGAATTATTGTTTTCTCTTAAATTAATGCTAATAAAATATCGGTACATAGAATTGTTGACATTGTTGTTTTGTACTCTGTAAGGAATGGTAATTTATTTTTTCCCCGTTGATTTTAATTTACTTAATCAGCGATTATTTCTAACTATCTTACTCCTAATTTTGCTGAATCAGTGTTATCAATATGTATCGCGCGATGCTTTCCTTCGCAGAGAGATTAAGTATGAGTTGAATAATAATGCATCTGATGTTCTCTCGTAAGATTAGATTTATTTATATAATCTTGTTCAGAATATTTTGCAAGTTCACTTTTCTTCAAAGAAATTAATATATAAGCAACACAATGTTGCGAATATATAGGGAATACATAAGTAAGAAAATATTTACTATGTATAATTCTACATTTAATAATAAAAGGAATTATACACGCGACGAAAATAATTATCTGACTTAATCTCAAGTAAACAGAGTTGCAAATTGAAATGGCGCGGATATTATCGGGTTTGAGTAATCCGGAAGTTATAACCCCGCTGCAGTTGAAACGTAGTAAAAGTTTCTATAATAGTAACAGTAAATTTCGTACTTGAATATCGCGCTGCGGGCGCGATTCTATTCAATCTCCGGGTCGCAATCTTGCGGTTAATTTACGAGAAAAGCGAAGGAAAGCGAAAATAAACGTAGCCGCTGGAGAATTCTTCTCGCGGTTATGCAAGTGCAAGTGCACGCAACTCGAAAATGAAGTATCGATCGTGCGTGACCTGTACTGCAGCACGATGTTGCTAATTAAATCAAACAATAAAAAGTTCAAGTGGCGTCTAAAAAAACTCGGAAGGGCATCTAGGCAAACTAGAAGGTTGTTTAGATTTTTATCAGTCTGTGAGATAAATTATGTTTGAAGAGCGTCTAAGAGAGTAGAACATTTTTTAAACTTTTGTTTGGTTTTTCATGGAGTTTGAAGGATCTCTGATTCTGAAGGCTCAAGGAAAAACTTCTGAACTTTTATCTTTAATATCTAAGATATATTTAAAGCACATGAATTATAAAGATTAATGTCCATTTCTACCAATGCAGATTAACTTTAATCTTGGTTTAATTTAGTAATTTAAACCGAGATTAAAGTTCTTATTGGTAGAAATGGACATAAGACATTTTTTTAGACTTTTCTCTTTGATGCCTGGATTTTCAGGTCGGTAAAAAAGATTTCAAGAAATATCTCAATAAACTTTTGACGTTTATTTTTAACGCTTAAAAAATGTGTGAAGGACATTTGATAGATTGAGATGTATTTTACACATCCTTGCGGCGTCTTTATAAAGTATAATGATTGCGGGAGAATAGAAGTGTTATACATTTTCAAAGAAAAGCTTGTAATTTCTAGTACCTGTAGTAACCCAGGACGGTTCATGTAGCCTCCATGACCGCCGTAGCCGAGATTAGATAGCATTTCAGGGCTAAAGCGATTGAAGAGACCACCCCATGCCTCGACACCGATATACGCCGTGTTTGCTACAAGCACTAACGTTATCACCGCACACACCTTCATGCCGTTGGAGATGTACTAATCTTCGGCGCTCTGTAATCATCCGAGGAAGAAAGGGTGTTCATATCGCGTTAAAATCGATTTATCTGAGAGGTTCGTCGTAACCATACATTATTGAAAAGTGATTATTAATTTATTACGTATTATTGCGCAAATACTTAGAAATGCATTACTTATCTCAAAATAATCGGGAGGGAATGAATTTTTAAACCTGGAATTTATTAAAGTATATCTTCTAAGCGCGGAAAATTTATTGTATCGATTTAGCGATAAAATGTTCGCGAACATTTCAGAACGTTCTGAACTTTCTTTCTTAATTTACTACAAGATTCAGCAGAGAGAGATGAATTTCGTTTTTTTTTTATTATATGAATTCTTTACCATTTTAAAAATTTGATTAGCAGTAATGTGCTAAAATTAAAATCTAAAAGGCTCTACGTGAAACTAGATTATATTTATGATGGAGCTCACAGAGATAAGGATAAAAACAGAATATTTCAATTGCAAAACAGGACGAAGAGGAATTTGTTACCGTTTCGATTGGAATGAATTTCGCTTAATTTTCTTTCCATCGCGCGTCGTATCTCTCGCAAGTATATTTTATTTCCGTGTTGTTTATCTCAACTGTTTTTGTTGCAAGCAGCGATCCATAAGACGCAGTTAGCTGCCGTTAGCATCGAACCCGTTTCGCACGTTGGCTTATGCTTATCATATCAGATGCCGGTGATGTAATGCTTTTCTTGAAGCGATCTTTTCGCTATTGCTGATACAGTTTCATAATGCCAAAGCGATAAAAACATTCTTCATGCATGCAAGTCAGCGATGTTATTATTACTTATTTATTTCTTTCGTAATGTTATTTCTTTAATTTACTTCTTACATCGCACTATTAGTAAAGTTCACTAAGGTTCGCTTTTAGTAAGTTTTATTGCGACTCAGATGCATAATCTATACCGTATTAATTAAACAATTGATATTGAATATCTTTACTATATTTGGAAGCAATCGACTGTATTTGTTTAACTTGAATATTTATAATGATAATTATGATATGGTAGGCGTTTAGAGAAAATTGCTTCATTTATTATATCGTGACAGAAGATTAAATGCGCTCAATATTAAGTTGTTTATAAAAGATAGAAATACACATAACGAGTTACATTCATATTCTAGTCAAGGACTAAAAGCAATTTACAATAGCTCAGCGTATGATATGAATAATATGAATTACATTAGGTCAATACTAACATTAATCTCGAGTATATAATCAATAATTCTTGTTTCATCAATTTTCCTCTTATCTCTTTTTATCTACGGTGAAATTTATTTACAATATTTAATGCATGACATTTATATATAAATGGACTGTAGGTAAAATCAGTAAATCAGTAAATTTAACATAAATTTTAAAATAAGCTAAATTTAATTTCCGATTTCTATAGCTCAAATTATTTTTTAACGTACCAAACTAATTAAAAAAGATATTTAAACACTGTTTTATTTTAACTTTAAAGCTGTAAATCAATTAGTTTAATCCTATTTTGATTGTATTTTATTACTTTAACGGGAACTACTTTATCTAGAAAAAAACATCGAGAATGTCTCAAAAACAAGCTTCGAAAAATATAACATGCAGGACACTCTGGTGTCTCGTCCCAAACACCCACAATGTCTGACAGCATCATACTAAACATCTGAAGCACTCGTGGTGTTATCGAATTTAAGCCATGATTCACTTACAAAATGTTCTTGCGCCCTGGCTCAGCTTGCCTGGAACGCCTTCACACCTCGGCCGGGCAGGATTAGCTACCCCTCGATTCACACAAGCTCAACAAGTCCTCGATGGAGTTTGCTGGAGGACTGAGTCCGTGCTGTGCTCGCTTCGGCAATCTATACTTCTACGTCGTTCCGGTTACCGTCACACGGGCGCATATACACGGTGACGCATGCGCCACCCGCTGCCGGCCCGTTTTCTTCTCATTTTTTTTCATACCACCCGTTTGCGGCCTACGTGATATTTTGTTCATTCAGATCTTCTGCTTCATATCGAGCGAGATATAGTTGGCCGAAGGAGCTACTCGAATGAATTAACCACTCGAAGCTACTCGTATTGACAGATAACGCGCCGCATGCAGCGTCGGCAATGACGTGATCGAGTGCGACAATGCTGCAGTGGTATAATCATAATGAACCGATATGCACTCACTTTTCATTAAAAACCAGTTTTTGTTGGTATTTGATGGAAAATCTAGCAACTAATGCAATGTCCTTTTTGTTGCTTATGCGAAAGAGAAAAAAAAATCCACAGTTTTACATTACTTTGAAATCTGGCGACAAAACGTAATTTTTCTCAGACTCGCATGTACATATAGATTCATCCTTTTCGCTAATTATAATATCACGATCCTTTGAGATACCGCTTGTGTTGGCAAATACTTACAGAAATTGCGACATTCCGTAACATCCGGAGGAAAGAGCAATGCTCGTTCTGCGAAAAGGTCAGAGATAACGAGATAATCTCGTTCTCCAGTCGTGCGAGCTCAACTTTGTGGGGGAATTATCTATGTATCGCGGAATTTGTCTGGTTCTTAGTGCCCGCTGTTTTATTTATCTCAAGATGTATTTACAGCAACCGAGTATATTCTTCGCCTTGCGCGCCAGGACACGTTCTCCGAGCTTACCTTGTTCATTTTAGCTCACTCCTTCTCGCACTCCTTACATTGCCACTAGTTTCGTTCTCTTTTGACCGTATTGATCCAAGGTATCCTGATGTGCCCGCCGGGCGGTCGCTCCTGCTCCATATACCCGCTCATGAACCCCCGCGTACTCTTTCACATATGTTAGACGGTTACGAAGCAGAAATCGCAACAGACTTGCTTTTGTTTAATCCTTTCAAGTTTGATTTCATCAAGAGATCTGAATTTTGAAATGTCTTTATATAAACTTTTCATAGACTCTTGGGTTAGTTTTAAAAACACTGAAGTAATTTTTATTGCTTAAAATCCTTAATGAAAATACTGATAAATAATGTTTTTCTTCCATTTTGAGGAATTTAAGAAAAGGTTATTCAAACCGTTAATGTAAACTACAATTACTTTATTACCAGTTTTCTTATAGATCTTACTAACTTACGTCGCCGTCGTTTACAGATAATTATAAATTACGATCAATAATTTGAAATTGTACAATATCCTTTACTCCTTCAACTTTAATCTTTCTTGTAACTAACAATTGACCTTGAATTCTAATTGCGACGTTATTCTTCCTTTTTCCTGAAAAGGGCATTCAGTGAACATTTTCGCGGAGGAGGAGAACGAGTCGGTAGACGCGCGCAAATCTTTGCAGCGACGCAGAAGGTCGCAAATACATTGACCGTCCGTCTACGATGCAACCACCTGTGCGACGAAATGCCAGAGTACGCAGGCGAGCGTACTCGAGGTGCATACACGCGTCCTCGCGAGTGCACCGGGTCGCGCCGCGTGTATGTGTATGTACCTACGGTACGTACGTACCATTAAATCGCCTCACTTCTTTCCGCTTTGACGTTTCGCGGCGTAACTTCGAACGTTACTTTGGCCTTGCGTGCCGTGGATAACAGGTCCCAGACTTCTAAGAAATTTCGTGTCCACTATGACGGAATATAAATGTACATTGTCTCGCATCGTAGAAGCACGCGCATGGACACTCATTTGGTGATCCCAATCACTTACGTGAAATTTTTTCTCCGCCGAGGTCAGCCAACACGCCATTCAATGATCCTTTGAGCTACCGCGCCCTTTCCTCTAAACGGAAATATAACATTAGCCCCGCTCGTATATAATTTACACACCTACAGAATTTTTGTTTAATCCAATTAATTTAAGACGTCAAATAATTTTATATTATATCTAGGGAAATTTTTTATTAAATAATATTTTTTAGTATAATTTATCAATTTAATTTTAATTTCTGTCTGAAAAATTTTTTATGTTGTAATGCCCATTTATTATTTCTTGTTTTAAATTTTATCAATGTTCTGTTCAAATATTTATGAATTAACGGTTTGCATTCTGCGTGCCAGTGATGTTTCAAATGGAATTAAAAAACGCAGTTTATTTTTTGCAATTGACCTACATGATTCTAATTATTTCGTAATTTAATCGTAATTTCTTATCTCGCGAGGTTTACAAAGAGAATTAACATCAGTTGTAATGAAATAATAACGTTAACCGTACTTACGAGAAGCTTCTTCCATCCTGAATAGAATAACCGTATTTTACGCGTAGCTGACGTAATAAAGAGTGCGTATTCACAAAGATCCTAATCGGTAGCACGACATTTCGTTCCCCCTCATCACATAAGCTGCGTACTTTGCTATTATTTCCCCATTTATTACATTAAGCACAGAATTAATAATCAGTGTAACGAGATGACAAGGGGTTGCTCCAAGATTAACCTAAAGATATCTTAGATAGATATATTTTATCTTTCGAAATAAAAAGCTACAGATATTATATATAAAGTCTTATTTATACATATAATAATACGCGACCAAAGTTTTGTAGAGCGTAAGAATTATTCTTTCAGGAAATTGTAGAGAATCTCTCGCTGGTGGCGTATAGTGATATTTTAATTTTGAAGTAACCTCCGACGGTAGAATGCGTACATTGTAGAATTAGTGCCGTAGGCAGGTGCCTCGCGATTTATACGATAACATTTGAAGATTTTTATCGGTGCCACGACCTTTCATCAGTTCAAACACGTGCCAAATGAGCGACAGAAAGATAGGATGCACCGGAAGCAAGCGACGTTATCACCGCGATGACGTTGCTCATATGTAATGATGATAAGTATATTAAAAGTTCTCGATCGATTTGGCGAACATTTGTCGCTATTTTTAGTGGGAGTATCACCTCGTAGATTGCGGCGCGTAATATTCATGGCGACGTGACGTCAAATAGTCATTGATGTCTTTTATTTCCGTGCGCGGAGTGTTGGTGGTGAATAAAATAGCCACATATGTTGTTATCGTATAAAAATGTATTTAATAAATAACATCTAACAATGAAATAAATAGGGCTTGTAGCTCGTCTTTATGCACTTATGTATGTATCAACGGAGTTGGCGCGAATATTTGCGGAGCAGGCAGAGATAAAAAATATGAAGGGAATGTTTGCGGTTTTTTAAATTCACTCGTGTTATATATGTATATATGCGCGATAATTCAAAATTCATGCACGTGTCTTTGATAACGAGTTATTATTGGTACTAATTTGGAAAGTATAATTAATTTGGAGTCTATTTTTCCTTGATCTGTTTAGGAGCTAGGAGCAAATAATTTCTAAGTTATTAATTATTATTAACTATAAGAAACTTTTGTTAAAGATTTTTGATAAAGAAAAGTCGGTTTCAAAGTTGGTAAAAGGAGTTCGCTATATATTATATATAGAGAGTATTGACGCAAATCGTGAATTATTTGTCGTTCATCTGTTTCTTCGATTGTGGAAGAAAGTTAAGGAATCGACAGGAATCTGTCCAGGTCGAGTGATAACGATTTAGGACTTCTCAGAGTCTGAACCCACTTTAATGCTGACTCAGCATAATACGTATACACCACGCATAAAGACGAGTTTAAACATTGATACGCATAAATGCAACATCGAGCACTGGTCGTGCACCGAGAAGCAGTGTTTTGCCGCAGACAATTCCGTGTAGAATTCTATTTCGAAATTTAAATAACTTGAGACTCAAGTTGGTGTACTTGTCTCTCTTCATTCTTTTCCTTTTCTTCCTCTCTCTTTCTTTTCCTTTACCGTGTAGTAGAAGTTTGCTCGGTATAAGTTGCTGCTTATGCAAGTGTTACTTCTTGCGCTAATGGAAAACATGAAATATAACGGATGCAGAAGAGAACGGGGCGTCTCGTTATTATTCAGAAATCGATATAGCCTTCTGACATTCAAGTACGGTTACATCTGCGATTGTGTTACTTAATTGAGTTTCATACGCTATATCTCGAGGGGAAATAAATTAGGTTTTCTTTGTACATTTATACAGAATGGCATCCGGTGCCGCTCGCGTAATTACGCGAGAACGTGAGATGACGATTGCGGCCCAGCTTCTCAAACTCCGGTGATGCTGTGCAGCCAGGGCTTGAAGTAAGTCGTCCTCATGTACACACCCGGTAGATACGGGGCCGCACATTTAATGCCGTGAGAAACGGTCCCGACTAGGAACCATCTGCCGTCTGGTCGTTCCATCACTAGCGGGCCACCACTGTCACCCTGAGGAAAATCATTAACTGTTGGCTATAATTGTTTGTGCAACACCTATTTTCGATATTAACGTTGCGGGATGCCAGATATTTATTGCAGCATCGGTGGCAAACAAATTGAACAAAAATTAATCGCCAAAGTATTGAAGATTTCCTTTTAAAACAAAAAAATAAATATTTCGCAACAAAATAATGATAAAAACAAACAAAATTAAAAATAAAAAGCAGATAAATATTATTAAGAATGCTGATATGAATATTCCATCTGCGATCGATAGAGCAATTGCTACTTAGCGTAGGATTAAAATGTAGTGCTGATAAGGGCGTTTGACATTTCTCTCCAGAATGAAAAATAAGACCTACAATAGGATGATGAGTAGATTACAAATGATAATACTGATATATACTAATATATTAAAGCTTCGCACGTGCAACCGACAAAGTAATCATATTATTTGCCGTAAGGCAAAGATCAAAGAGCTACCGCTAACAGCTGGAACAGTTGATAGAGCTAATGGAATACGATAGGGAGCAACTTATCCGATTACCTCGCAAGAATCCTTCTGGCCATTAGCGTATCCCGCACAGAGGAAGCTATCCAAAATCAATTTCGCATGATCGGCGGTTTGGAACATCTCCTGGCAAACCGAGTTCTCCATTATGGGCACTTGGACCTCCTGCAGCACCGACGGCACACCACCATCTGTCGAATGTAACGATACCGTTAGTGGAACCTTGACAGCGAATTGACGGCGTGAAAAGAAAGTCACAATAGAACCGCGAATAGAATTCGGGCGCGTAGGAGGCTGCGCGAGAGTCATCGTGAAAGTTGTTACTCTGCTCTCGTCACGGTAACTCGTCCCATTTCGTACTTTCTAGTCTTGCGGGAAATTTACCGCATGAATGACATACACAAAAGCGCTCGCAATTTATAAATTGGGTGAACGAAAATCGATACTCACTGTATTTAAGCCGGCCCCAGCCAGTGACCGTCGCCATTCGGCCGGTGAAGTCGATGCCGTCCTCCGGCATACAGATCGGGACGATGTGCTCGTCAAACTGCACCGGTGACTCCAGCTCCAGCAGCGCTAGGTCATTCTCGAATGTCGCTGGATCGTAGCCGCGGTTCACGATGACACGGCGAACGTTTTTCGTTATGCTGCGCTTCGGCTCTAATTCACCCGAAATGTCGAATTCGCCGAACACCGCGACCAAGGAAGCTAGAAATCTACAAACGATAGAATAATGCGATATTTGCATTTTTTTATTTGACATTAGTTTCTACAAAGTATTCTGTTATTTGATTCAATACCGGTTCCGGTTAAGAAATTGATAAAAATTGAAATCACAAGTCTAAATATTAAATCTTTATATTTTCATATTCTTTACGAAGCCAAAATAATAATAGGAGTTGAAAATTATTGCTTTAGAGAGAAAGAGGAAGAGAGAGAGAGAGAGAGAGAGAGAGAGAGAGATTTATATAGAGTTAATAATATGCTATAAACATAAATAAATAATTTAGATTTTATTACCTTCGGTGAAACTAAAATATATTTTTATAACTTACCCTGGTTGACAATGGGCTGCTGTCATCACATATTTATCAGTGATAAGTACACCTCCGCATTTATTCTTCGTGAACAAGCCGAGCCAGGTCGCCTCGCGAACCAAGACCTGCCATGGCCATTCTCCAAACTGCGCGCCTTTTCCGCCGACTATTTTTCCCGATCTCGAGACCAATGGTCTCACGCCGCATTCTGTTATCGCAATAAGTGTTATGTTGACCGTAATAACAGTCGTGACGATTGCGACTAATAATACTCATTTTCGTAAAGGATTTGAAACAGAGTTATATAAGGTTTAGTGAAAAAGTAGAAAAGAAACGTGATTCCGATTTAGATGTTCGGATCTTTTATTTGTAGAAGTTTTTACAAGGACTTTGCAAACTTTTCGACTGCTCACTTACGAGTCCGAAAGTCTGGCGCGGCATCCGTTTCTGCAACGCTGCTTTCAGTCGCGTTCAGACTCTGTTCTTCCAGTGGAATCGCTTGCGTGCTGGTGGACGGCGTAGTCGTGGGTCTCCTGGTTGGTTTCGGACGTTTCGTCGTTACTTGGGGCCTTTTCGTCGTGACGTTCTGCGATGCGTTTGGTTTAGGTCTCGGAGTGGTTACTTTAGTGGGACGCGCTGGCTTCTCGGACGTCGGTGGTTTCTGAGTGGGACGAGTAGGCCTTCTCGTTGTCGCGGATGGTCTCTTCGTCGTCGCCGACGATGACGGCGACAACGGTCTAGTTGTGGGCTTTCGCGTAGGTCTTTTTGTCGTAGTGTTTCCACTGGTCGGTCTTCTCGTTACGGTAGAAGATGTTGTTGGAGTCTCTACGGTGCTATTTCGAGTGTAGACCACTTCTTGTAAATTCTAAAGAAATACGAAGAATCGGGAAAGAAGAACAAATTACACAAACTCCAATATGTGTTAGAAATAAAATGTTTATCTCAAATTGTCGCTTTTTATATTATTCGAGCAAAAATAATGCATAAAATGTGTAAAAACTTTCAAAAGCAAAAAGAGAATGAAGAGAGTCAAGAATAACAACCTCTCAACGTTCCAGTTGAGTATAAAAGTAATGAGACGCTAATGTAAACTGTGTTTACATCCACTCGTGACGCTCAACGCGCTGAAAGTTAAGTTTCGTTCGTGTAAAACTCAAAGCAATCTAAAACTTCGTCAAAGAGCGCGGAGCGTAAAACTCTAGCTGGTAAAAACAAATTATCTTGTTACCTGGAAGGTACCCTGCAGCGATTGGACGAGATTTTCAACGAAAGCGTCCACCTTGTTCGTCAGCACATCGTCCTCGACGAATGTGGGCGTCGGTATATCGTGCTCGCTGATCAACTCGATATCCGGGTAGCCGGTGTTGTTATATGTCTCGACGATTGTCGGCTTCTCTTGTTGCGAGACCGGCATAGAGATGTTGAGATTCGGATTTCGCACTGGCGGGAAGTTGATGAGGTCGTCCGGCGCCGCAGTTTCATCATCATAAAATGCAGCGGTGGTAGCTTCGTTTACGGTATCCTTGAATATAAGACTGTTAATCGGTGTCAGATTATTGTTCGACCAAGTGACGCCGGACGTCGCCGGTTTCAGATTGAACGCCGGCTTGCTCGACCACGATGAGACCGTGGTCCAGATTACGGGCCTCTTCGTGCTCGGCCGAATTTTCGTGTTTGAGGTTTCTGCCGCGATCGCCTCGGTGCTGACATCGACTATCGGTTTCGCGCTGGTGCCGTCCTTTAGGTTAACGCTAATATAGCTAGTGGAGACCACGTTGTTATTGGCGACGTTGGAAATGACGGTGCTGATGTTGTGAGTTATGGTAGTAGACACGCTGGGCTTCTTGGTGATTAACGTAGGTCTAACGGGAGTGGTTTTAATCGAAATTGGAGCGGGCTTGGTGGTTGTAGCCGAAGGCTTTCTCGTGATAGGTTTCTGAGTAATTTGCGTGGTATAGCTCGTTCCAAGCGGGCCGAGGACTATCACCGTTGGCGCCGGAGGGTTCGTCGTAGGTCGGTTGTTGATGAAACTGCTGCTGGAAGCGCCGGAGTAGGTTTGCGTGGATGGCCGTGAACCGTATGAGCCGCTCGAGGTCGGACGATGCGACGTGTAAGTCGTCTCGGTGGGTACGAGCTCGTAGTTGTAGTACGTCGAGGAAGGTTTGGGCTGCAGGGAACCAGGTTTATAAAAACTGTACGGGAAAGTCGACGATACGGGCGTTGTAGGTCGATAATTCGAGGAACTGACTTTGACGTGGGTGGGCTTCGAGGTCTCGTCGATACTCACCCAGGCCTGAACCGGCGAAGAATTTGGAACCGGTAGAGTCACCGATACGTCCGAGTTCGGCGTAGTGTCGTTTAAGATAGAGATTATGTGATTAATGGCAATCTCCTCTTTATCGAGAACATCATCCTTCTTCTTGTTGCCCGATGGTAGATCGTATATAATGGTCGGTACCTTCACCAGATCATCTTCGATACTCGAAGAGGTCATTGGCGTAGTAACTTCGACTTTCATTGAATCCGTCGCCATTTTCGTAGACATTTTCTTCTCGATTGTGTTCGTCTTCTCGATTGTGCTTGTCGATGGCGTGCTAGGTAAATCGCTCGTAAGCTTCTGTACATTGGTGTACAGCTGAGTCACCACGGGCATATTTGTTATCACGGGTGTCGATTTGGGAGCTTGCGACGTGGACGTTAACTCCATCGTGGAAGGCTGCTCCGAGAATTTGATCCATATACTTCCATCTTGCACGTCCTCATCGATCGGCATTTCAGTGGAGGAAGGTCGGAAGATCTCCGGATTGTTGATCTCCTCGAGCAGCGTGCCGTTCTCATTTAATAATATCGTCTCTGGATCGCTGTGATTGTTTTGGCTCAGTCCTTGCGAGAACAATGCCGGAAGCTGATCGACTGGATCTGCTATTTGCAGAATCTGATTGGGATTTAACAACGTAGTGATCGGATTCGCTGCCGGTGGGTGATCTTGATGATCTTGGATATCGTTATTAGAATCTGAATGCGTCAACAATCCTGGCAATCTCAAGTCATCGATGATGTCTTGCTGACCCAGAAGAACCGGGAAGTCTTGGGCCAAGTGACTTACGTCCGCCTGTTGGGGCAATTGTGTTTTTTCGGCATTGTTCGTCGTATCGGACGACGATAGTGTCGACGAAGAGCCTTGATTCGAACTAGAGATCTTCGTGTATATCGTTTCGCCGCCGCTCGAGACATTCGGCTTATCGCCGGTCGACGACGTGCCGGTTTTCGTTGTCTCGCCACTTGGCGGTACCGACATGCCAACCGGCGTACCGTCTGGATTCAGCAGAATAGGTATGTCAGGTACGTGGTCGATTTGATGCAGATTGAGAAGCGCCTCGGTACCGGGCGAATCATTGCCTCCGTTCGTCGAGCTCTTCGGCGGTAATTGGCAGCACGCACCGAAGAGGAAGCCGTCCATGCAGGCGCCGACGACCTCGCCGTTACGCCTTGTGCATTCGTAATTAAACATGCATATCGCCGGTTCGCTCGACTTGATGCGCGACGGCAACGACGGCCGGCACGCCTTCGGTACTATCGTGTAGCCGCCAAACAGCTTTCTGCCTAAAAGATAATTAGTAAGATTAATGCTAATTGTAAGATTTACGATTTTCCTCTTCGTTTCGTGTAGAATTAATTTGAAATTTGAGAAAAGATTAAAAAATTAAAAAGCGTATTTTATATAAAGATATTACACGATATTTTTATACATTTGACCGCTTATTTTACGTGCATATACATAATATTAGAAAATTTTCGCAATTTCTGAAGCAGTATTAAAAAGAGATAATTTTTATAAAATAAATTATTATTGTAGCGTGTTGTGAAGAAGAGGCACCCAAAGTCCGCTCCGTTTGGTATTTGGGTTGTGGAAGAGTACCGCGTTCACGTAGCTCGAGACATTGCCCCAAATTTCGGTTTACCCTTGAAGAGAAATCGAATATCGGATCGAGGATTTATTGGTTGCGATATGCAACCCGTAGTACAGACGTTAAATAACTAAGTTTTAGCGTCGGCCAAAAATATATGGACGTCGTTTATCATGCAACGTTTCCGTTTTAGCCACCGATGTTGCAATAGAACGACCGAGGCAAGAAGAGTATAAATAGATATCGCGTATAGACATTGATTCGTTTAAGAAAGGAGAACGAAAGGAAGGTTATTTCTTAAAAAAAAAAGGTATTTGCCTTTTTTCGTTAATCCCCATGATATATAGATTTGATGATAACATCTTTCCTCTTGCTTGTCTCGTTACTCTTTAGCACGCGAGAGAAAATATGAATCAGCGTCAATATTGAGTTAATATCGGGATACGGGGCGAGAAAACGTCGGTTACAAGATGCACGCCTGCTTGGGCGTGTGTTGTGTTTGCACATACGCGGCTATCTTTTCCGGTTATGCTTAGCTGACCAAAGCATAGACGAGCAGGCATGTAGGCTCCGCCGCACGTGCCTTCTATAACACGCTTGCACACTGCCGATATATGATGACCTACTCCGCGATCCGTCCGCGATGCTTGTCTGGATACTCGCGGCCGGCGTTCCAGATTTTTGCTATGCGCCGACTCTCGCGTCTCCACCTAATATTTATCAGTCTCGGTATGCTGCATTCGCTCGCCGTTTCCAAACAGCACGTATCCCAAAGAACACAAACGCCTAAAACTCGTCATAGAATCGTCTGAAAGACGTCCTACATTTCTCGAATATCTTCTAAGATATATCCTTTAGGCGTATATCCTCTCTCGGACTTTTGCGTTGTCATATGAGGAAATTATATAAAATAAATATTAATGCGATAAATATAAAAAGTAATGAAAATAATATATGTATAAAATAACAATACGAAACAAAAATTTTGAGCTCTCTATTTGCTAAACAAGGTGTACGAAAATAATATGTAATGACGATATCAATTAAGTTATGGCAGAATGAGAAAGTTTGAGTTCTTTCTCTAATTAGGAACTTGAAAAATTAAATTCATTAATTATTTCTACATGCCACTTTGGTACGCAAATATGTTCTCGCGCAAAAATTTGTATATTTTTTGCGGCGTCTGTCACGATTGCGAGCTACTTAACTTTCTTTTCTACGCGACGCGGAAAAGAGGAAAGGACAATTTGCAATTTAGATTAGCCGCGGGATTGTGTGCATAACGTCGCGAAATACGGGTTGACTACGTGATCCGCGGAAACGCGATTATGTCCATTCTGGAGCACGTATCGCGTCAGTGAATACTCTGAGCATTCTTTATGAAGATAAAGTATAACAAAACGCATGTTGCTTGAATAATCATCGCGAGACGTGACGTAATAGCGAGCATTAAACGTTCGTTGTCGATATTATATAGGTATAACAGAAGTTCGCTTAAATCGGGAGAGTTTCGCATTGAATATGCACGATACCCACAAAAACTTCGTAGCGAGCTTTGTGAATTATTTATGCGAATTAAATCGAATGCATCGCGTTGCTGCGCGAGCATTTTCTAAGATCCACATTATGTCGTGCTGGTTTATTCAGAAATTATGCCTTATAGAAAAAAGGGAGTATTAATGTAGTCAGTTTATTGATCTCGATTAATAGCCAGATTGCGAGAAAATATACACCTTAGAAAAGATTAAAGTGTTAAACGCTATAAAGATGATACACAATTACTTGTGAGGTATGTGTTGCGTGTAATCTTCCATTTATTCTACCGTAGCGTACCACAACTATATAGAATATATGTTGAGGACAATATATATGTCGGGGACAAATAGTAGTAATAATTAACCTGTTACGGTTAAACTTTGTAGCTCCTGCATCCATTTCCCACGCGTATTTCCGCGTTGACGTCGTACAACGCGTATTTGGAAATAGATAAGACAAAAGCAGTTAGAATAACACAGGTATCATTAATATAGGTATACATATAAGTTGATACTATTAAAAAGTTTGTTCTTTTATATTATTTATATCTATGTGAATTTTCTATGATGACTTGAAGTCTTACAGTAATTACTAATAATTGATATAATTAAGCTCGACAATCGTTATGGGCGTTCCAAATAAATAAATAGGTATTTATTATCCTCTCCATATTCTAAGATTCCATTTTGTGCATTTATCGATAAATAATTCGAGGAATTTTTATTTCAATTTCTTCATTAAATCTGTCATTCTTATAATTATCTTAAGTTTTGCTTATTAAATTTTATAAGCATTATTTATGTGTCAGATGCTCAATAAGAAAGCGTTTCGACTTTTGATGGATCCCATATAGATTGATATGACAGATTGAAAGTACAGCGAGTAGGAATTTCACGCGCTGCGAGAAATGTCATCCATTTTCATAAATTGTTATAGAGCTGTAAATATTACCGCGAATGTCGCACGAGCCACAAACTCTCTTGACACAAATCAACGCGCGAAAGTGGAGAAAGGTGAATTTCTGATATATAGGGCAAAGTCATTGCACGTACGCTAATGAGCATTAAAATGCAGTTGCACGTTTGATATATACAGGCTTGTAAGAATAATTTCGAACCGGGAGAGAGCGTCTTTCGGACGTGCGACGTTGAAAACCTGACGTATTAGATGACATTCCAAAATTCGCCGTCAATAAAGAAGAGTGTCCTAGAATCATCGTCTCTCTTTTCAATTGCGTTTAATGCGAAGCTTGAAGTCAATCTTTTTCTTGCCAGTAGTCTTGTATGGAGAATTATCGTCTCACTTTTTAAAAAATTTCCAATATTAAATACGTTAACATTTAAATTATAATTTAATTTCTATTAAATTTAAATTTTATTTAACTTACTTCAGTTATATTAATTAAAACGATATATTTGTTTATAGGTTTAAGTTCGAGGTTTCAGTTTTCAAAATTGTTTATTATACATATATTAAATAATTACGTTTAATAATGTGATATTACTGTCGTTAAAATAACTGCCACGTTTTGAGGTTTATTCTTCATAAATATATCGATAACATGTATAATTAAGTGAATATAGAATAAGTTCTATATTCATAGAACAAACAATTTTATTTCTATGAATATAGAATACTTATTCGACAACGTGTGCCGCTTGAAAGCCGTATCTCTTAAAATTTTCATATATTTCACACAAACAGACTCAAAGAAACATCTCTCTCGCGGTTTTCGAGATAACGCGCGAGGCTCTTGTAAGTAGGATGTGTCAATATTTGCCGTGCCAAAAATTCGTAAAAACGCGACACGTTAAAACGTGAAACAGTGACGCGCGGCTTTTCTCCGACGACCCTTGACCTTCCTCTCACGCTCGCCGGAAGGGACCGAAAGCGGCGTACATACGTGAGACATCGATATTCGCGCAGCTCGGCATAAAATCGAATTTCACCTCGTCTGCACGCTCAACGCGCGACCGGAATAAATGGCATATAGCGAAAAGCTTCCTTCTCGGCTCCACCTCTCTGTTGTTGATTTTGCTCAAAGAAAGATGGAAAGTAGAATTTGGTGTCAGTAATGACCGCCGACTTTAACGTATCATTTTGTATACGAGCCACGTTGCATGTTAATGAGAATGCAATATGCGAGAACGATTTGTAAAAGTAGAAAATCTGAGTTTGCCTCGTTTTCGCGTTACTCGCGCATTCATTATTTTTTAACGTAGTGAAGGAAAAAGATTTACCATGTGGAAAAAGATGTGTTTGAAAAATTATGCAAGTTATGTAGGTTACCTTATCTTTGCGTTAAGCAGATTACCATTTTAATTTTAATTTTTTAAATTAGTATGGAAGAGAAAGATACGTTGATAAAATTTGTCCGTCAAGTTAGGAAATGTTTAAATCTAGCCATATTTGTTAAAGTGAACATACGAATGCAAATGATATTCGCCGTAATTACCTTCATTTCGAGGCGTCCAAGCGTGAGAAAAAACGCATGTGAGAGTAAGGAAGATGAACAGCAGACAGACACCTTTCTCAGCAACCATCTATAATGAAAAAATATTTTTCGAAAATATACTTATTAAAGAAAAGACATATACAATTCGTTTCGAAAGATTTAGTCGTATATCAAGCAATTAAACAGATTTAAAATTAAAAAATTCTTATCAAACTTAAAGATAGCTCTGCTTTAAGACAACGTTAATTTATTTATAAAGGCGGCCCTTGGCACCAGCTCAACGACGATCTTAAAGTATCCTTCAGTTTTAAACATGACTTTGAGACATAAGAAGTGACGCAAAAGATATGCGCTTATATCCACAAGAAAAAGCAGATGTAAGTTACAATTTTCTTTGCAGGTGCAAACTTGCTTATCCTATCCATTAAACGTGCATTATGTTTCTCAGCTAGAAAATTTCTCCTCTCTTAGGATGACATAAATGAATTCAAGATACAAAATAAGTGACAGATAGCATTTTTATACAGAAGATATTTATTTGACCATTTATATCACTTCTCCCTTTTCAAGTATCGAGCAATTTATGAAGATAATATCTAATGCCGAATAGAAACAGTCTTAGGTTTAATCGTTCAGCATGATCGTTTGGCAGCCATAATTTTTCAGATCTGATTACCAGATCTACATATCGGTACATATATTTGTCCCTCGTAACGGTACAAGGATATCAGGCTCTCGCACGTATGCTAAAAAAAAACTGGTAGTCGTAAGATGACTCCCATCGCGTATTCTCTCAATTGATTTTATTTTGCGAAATGCTAATATTTTACAGCAATTTATATGCATTAAATAACATTTATTATTAAATCATTTATACCAATCTATTTTCCAAAACTCAAAAGGTTGAAGGGAATAATATTATAGATAACGTAGATAATTATCATTCACACAAAATGGATATTGATTACAATACTAAAACCGACGATAATGAAGCGTGCAATATTACGTCAAATGGAATTGTAAATTAGAATAATATTAAATTTAATTTAATAACAATGAATATATAACATTTGAAAACGAATATCACATATTTATCTTCAAATATATTCGTGCCAATTTTATTGAAAATTATTTTAAAATATTTTCATTGCGAGATAAAATATGATTTATTCTCGGTTCGTGTAGCGTGCTATTTTAAATTATAGTTATTGATTCACGAATAGACGAATCCAATGTAATGCTGATAATGTAATGCTCACAATGGATGAATATACAAAGGGTTAACCAATATTTCGCAAACATGGATCAATGCTCCTTCTATATCGTAGGTGTATGCTTGCACACACAAAAAAAAACGCAAGCAGTATATGTATATAACTATGAGTAGCTCTATTAATAATTTTTGCAAGAAGTAAAAGGTCAAAAAAGGTTTACGGACGCCATTATACTTTATAAAAATATAAATTTGTAGCTAATTTAATCCAGGAACAATAAGGATAAAAATATAATTAACCGGCATTGAACGAGATAAAGGTAATTCGTATTGCCAAAATTTTTAACGGAACAAAGACCGTGTCTTTTAGTTCGTTTTGCCCCAAGTTCATATTCGAAGATCCCTCGAAATCCTACGAGATGGTATATACGCGCATCTTTCACGCGAATCGTCAAACGTATGAGGAGCAAATGGACCTATGTATCTCTTCCTTCTCGGAGAGGTTCACGTTTGCTCACAAGCAAACACGGGCGCGCGCGTACGTGCGAGACGACGGGGATCCGCTGCATGCGTGTATCTGCAAAATCCCGTTACAGTCAGTCACACAGGCCCGATGTACGATAGCCGCGGACGAGGCGGAGGAACGGGAACGAGGTATCGGAGGAACCTGAAGGTAAAGTCGATGGAGATCTTCGGCGAAGAGTATAGAGGCCTTGATGGGCGAGACGAGGAGAAGAACGGAGGAGACGACGAGAAGCAAAGATACGAGCGTCGGGCGAGTCGCTTTAACGCAGGTTCACCATCAAGACACTGGTGACCCAGTTACCAATTCGCCGACATTCTGTCCCATTCCCACTGCGGTCTTGTTAGCCCATTATAAAGTCCAGTGTGCAACGTGTATACAGATTATCCTCATTCATTTATGTCAAGTTAGCAGTGAACTTGCAATATATATATCTGCGGATTTAGGATTTGGAATTTCTATCCAGTTTTTGGATTTCCAAATTTTTTAACAAATTTCAAATATATCTCAAACTTTAAAAATAGCTACTGGATCAAAAAGAGACGCGACGACATCAAAACTGATGTTTATTAAGCTCGGTGGGGATAAATTGTAACGACGGGGATTTTACATAGCGATTGCTTGGCCAAATGATGGTTTTGACATAAGCTATGGTAATGATTTCGTCTACATATGGCCCGGTCGTGCCGCTCTGATTTTTAATGCGATCCGTTAAAGTGAACTGTTGTTCCACACAGGCATGATGAGAGTTGATATGACTATTAATATTCGCGCCTGTTAACCTAAAAACTACGTAACATCCGGTCGATTTATACGACGTCGATTAAATGTACCATGATTATGCTAATTTCGTTAAATACTGGACAATTATGTTAATTACATTAAACATACCGGAGTTGTATTATGCGACTCGCATTCGCATTTTAAATTATGCCGTTTAATTCGCTTCGGTAAAATACATATCTGAAATAAATATTTTGAAACAAATTATTTACGTTAAAAATTCAATGAAACATTTTACGACACGATAATTTTATCAATCGAGAGAAAATTATAAAGATAATGATATACACTCCCCCATTTTACTTTTACACGTGTATTAAGAACGTTTACAACGCAAAAACGATCGTAATAAATTATAAGTACGTAATGACTACATTAACATAATCCATAATCCATAATATATGAGATACTTTATTTAACTATTATGTTATTAAGCGTAAGGTTAAACACACACTTCATCATGCACAGCTACCTTGATTCAGGGTCGATTGAATGATGATAACGTTGGTATATCGCGTAATAGTTGCACGTTACGCGAGTTACATCGTGAGAACGTTACACGTTACGCTGTTAACACACAAGTGCGATCCTTTCGTACGCCCTACGTACGGCCGTGAATACGCGGAAGTCACTTTCGTTGTAAGTGTTTCGTTTTCGCGTAACATTTTCCGGTCGTTGTCGGCGATTATACCAATCATCTCGAGAATTCAACGCATTTACTCCCAATAGCTTCCTCGCTTCCTGGCTTCACTTTTAGTCTCATCTTTTTTTTATACTAAACAGTATTGTTAGTTATACGCGCATATACACATGATATATATTTTTATTATTTATGTAAAATGTATGTACATAAAATACACATATACATAAGATTTCTCGTTGCTCACGTCCGCGTTTTCGTTGCTACGTTTATTGATCGCCGACAGTGCAAAACCGCGACGTTGCATTCCCGCGAACATTACTTTCTGGGCTATCTGTTGCGGCGATCAATGGTAAACGAGTCCTCTCTCGGCATGCTTTACTGCCGGCAGAGGTGTACACGGGTGAATCGAAAAAATGTTCGCGGGAAAACACGGCACAGGATCTCATGTTCGCCGCGAGAGTCCTACACGCTCGTCACACAGATCCTCGCCGAGAGGATTCTTCGCCAACCTCGACCTCCGGCGAGGCGCGAGTCAACAGAATCGAAAATTCTTCCGCGTTCATTGGCCGTCCGTCAATGCCGAGCTGTATCGTGAATGCGTACGGCGCCGTGCATATGCCGCGAGATATACACATGTACAGAACCTCGGAGAAAGCTTAGTTTGATGTGATTGGATCTTGATTATTGGATCTGGGTGACCCGATTGCCTCGACGGGGGCTTCCTCGTCCTCGACAACCTGTCGTGAAGATCCTCAACGATTGATGTTACTATTAACGATCGATCATATGTGCGTGGGTGATTGATGACGTTGAAACGTCCATTAAAGCGTTAATTTAACGTTAAAGGTCACGGCGCGGCGGAGAGAAGAAAGATCCATAACCCTTATTTCAGCTTATTATAACTTTATTAATATAATTGGAGATCTTTATAATACCGTTAGCGTTTTTTGAACTTTGTCTTGAAAGAAATTTTACAAATAAAAGATTTTTTTTCTCACGAGCTAAAGAAAGATTTGGACACGATTCAACCTCGTTTCCGCGATTTGTTTTTCGCGAATAAACACGATTTGAATTAATTCAACAGATCGGAACATCTTTGGCCTCTATTTTCTCTCCGCGAGTGCAAGCACGAGCGTCAATTATCGAGACGGTGGTGATTAGCTAAATAATCTGAGAAAGTAGGGAACCCGTGCCATTCGAATGGAACACAGAAGTCCGCGAAATGACCGCGCGAAACTAGACCTAGGACGAAGATGCAGACGGTCGCTGCTTTCACTCGATCGTTTAAGACAATTCGAGCGCGATCGTTCGTGCAAAACCGACCGATTCCTTCTGTGCTCGTTTCAACACGGAAGGCTCAATATCCGACCGCTTCGTACGAAACATCGAAAGTGATTGCCGATATTGTACGTTAACGTGCTAACATCGATAGCACGAAAAGCCGCGTAATCGTTTGCGGTTTAATCGGTGCGCGATTTTGTTACAAAGAGACTTTTTATTTTAAGGTAGAAGGTTTGTTTTTAATAGAATTTTTATATATTTAAATTTTAATGAATAAATCAGTGGTTTTACAGGTTAAAATTAGTTCATCTGCTTGTATATATATAATCTCACGATTCATAACTTTTAAAGCGTAATTTTATAAATGTAATTTTTTACCAGATTTACTGCGTTAATTTCTATGCTAATTATAGAGTCTATTATTAAAATCAAAGAGTTTGAAATGTTTTGTAGGTATATGAAAGCCGTGATTGCCGTGAAGAGATGTTAAGATATCCAAGTAGAAGAATCGTGATTTATGTATTTAAAAAAATTAGTGGGTTAATTTAATTCTTTTTCCACATATCTGCATTAGGAAAAAATTTCTGTTTGCGTATGAATTAACTTCAAAAAACGCCACGTATTACGAATGCAAATTTTTTTCTGCGAATTCACCGGTAAAAGGCATAGAAGCGTTAAATACGCGAATGAGTCTACATAATTGGAAAGAGTGACGACGAACTGTCGAAGCCTCGACAACCGTTACGACCCGTCACTACATATCTAACTCAGGTATACATCGAACGTGCGTAAAAGATGTACGCGTTAGACACTGCTAAGGGTCAAGGTGAGGAATTTTTTTTCCTGCAGTCAAGGAGCATCTCGTCAGCGAGAGAATCATAGGACCTTTTAAGAGTGAAAATATCTCAATCGATTTATTAATTTCACAAAACATTCGTCTATGATTTCTTTATGATCTCTTTTCTTAGATTTCGCGCGCGTGTGTGGAGCCCTTAGTTAAATGAAGAGTATTCATATATAACAAAGAATAAAAGAGGACAGCAAAAAGGACGTGTGAAGAATATAATAAGGTGGAGAAGTAAAAAGAACGTTGACGTCTTTTACTTAATTATTCTGACAACTTGGTAATTTTTTACCGAGCATAACTGTGTTTACGGCGTACGCCAGGCTTAAGATTCGCCAGCTTTATGCGTGACCGTTGCTGTGTACACGCGCGCGAAACTGGCAACGTAAAACTGGAAGCGTAATTCGCGCGGTGCTGACTTCTCGTGACTCAGGTGTGTGCGTTTCACGGTCAGGTGCATCTCACCGCGCGTCTCGTCTGCCGGCGAACGAGGGCAGGTCCGCGCGGTATGCCATGCCAGGTCGCCGATACCTGTTACTTGCGTCATCGATTTGTGTGCCGCAGCTCTTCCTGGCAACTTTCGGCGTCTAGCTCGTGCAGACGCGTCGTGTCGGTCGCGCGCACGTTTAATGACGCGTGGACGAAGGATACGGGAGGAAAAGAAGTTATACAAGACGAGAGATCGAAATACCACGATGCAACGGGGCATGCCGAATGGTCTTCCACGTTGTGTATCGGAATGCGTCGTTTTAACATCGAAAACCCGGCTTTCTCCCGTTTCTACGGTCAAATTACTATCCGCGTGATTACGCTGATTTACGCGCGATCTTGATGGTTTTGGCAGACAGTTCAATCCCTGGCGCCGATTTTATTGCCTCGCGTTAAACTTTCTCCCACGAAAACAAATTTTTCGTAAACTGATGAGACAAATGCCGAATCATATTTTTTAAATACTTATACATCATAAGTTTAATTCAATTTTATGAGTGATTTTGCGATAACACGTTTATGTCACATTTCAATTTTAGAACAGGTGGATCGATTAACGAAGTACTCGAATTGTTATATTGCTAACAATATTAGTTAAAATTAATTTCTTTATTTAATAAAGCTGATTGTTATATGAAAATCAGCGATTATCAGAAATTTACCTACATGTATTCTACATATACATGATGCAGTTAAAAAATTACTGTGAGTGAACAAAAAGATTAAAAAAAAAAATAATAATTTGAGAGTGTTAAAAAGTTGATACATATATTTAATGCATATGAAACAAAACCAGAAACGTGAATTATTCCATTAAGAAATTCAATATTGGATTCAAATTTTAATTGTATAAAATATGCGATTTAAATATTTAAAAAAACCTAATATGATCTTTTACTCATTAATTTTTTTAAGAGACACCCGTGTTGCACATGTCTCCTTCTTTTTCTTTCTCATTTCCTAATAATTTATATTATTAGAGATTCAATGTAATTTACATTGTGCTAAATACAGGAATTCGTTAAAAGCTCCCGAGTCGAGTAATGCATCACGAAGATGGAGTAATTCCTCGAGTTGGCACACGAGGGAAATTATCTCGTGCTCGTTCCACCAGCCGCACCATCGATCAAACAACCCCTTAAGGGCTGAGCCACTTACCGTGCAGCGCATTAACCTTGGGTGCAACCGAGAGGGCACGTTAAGCGCGTCTCATAACGTCGTTTTAATTCCGGCAGACGACGGGTCCGCTCTTCCGGTCTGCTTCCGCGCGAGAGAGGAAACGCGACCTTGCCCTTGTCGTGGTCGGATCGTCCCTTCTGCGTGCCTTTCCGTTCGAGAGAGATCACTGATCCCTCCGATCACTTCTTCACTGAACTTGCTCTCGTCTTGCAAGTCGATTCGTCGGCATGAATCGCGCGCTACGCCTGCGATCGAATTTCGAACCGGTGCACCGACCTCGCGTGTCTCGAGTCTCTCTTATCGCGCGCGTTGCACTCGTCGATCGTCAGCCCATAGGCGGCATCGGCGAAACCAGGACTCGTTCTCGCGGGACTAGCTATACCGAAACCGATCGCACTTGGAAATCTTCTCTGTGACTCTTACGCGCTCGCACCAATCTATACCGCGCGATCGTCCATCCGTCTAGCAAACGGGATGGTACCTGTCTGGCCGTCGTACCTTGTGCCACGGCATGTGTTGCTGGAATCGCATGGCTAAGTCATAAGCGGCGCCTTCGACGAAGATCGGTGGTGGTGGCCGGTCTGATGGTGGAAGTCGTTTATGGTGGTGGCAACGCAACGTTCGACGGAAGCCCGGATCAGTGAAGAAGGGGGGGACCGTTTCATGGAGTACAGAAGTCGTTGAATGCGAGAGGGACTCGCGGAGGGGGAGGGCCATCGGGGAGAAAGACAGAGAGAGGGAACCAGGAGAAACCAAAGTGGGTCAGTGGCCAGGTCACGTGGAGAAGAACGGGGCCCAACGTGCAGGACGGCGACACACTGTCCTACTCATCCACCGGTCGCTCTTGGCCGCTCCAGGTTCTGTCTGTCCATTCAGGAAACCATTCGCTTCGCGATACCATCGTGAAAATGAGATGCGATCCTACTCGCTACTCTTCCCGGAGAAGAGAAGGAAATCTTCGATGGAAAATCCAAATAAGAGCGCGATGACAGCGTATAGTCAGCTGATAACGTCGCGACAAGGCTGCGCAGTTCATCAACCGTGCTGTTCTGTGCTGCGTTAACATTTGTACTGACATTTACGATTCTCAAAAAATTGTTGCTTTACAACAAGGGCAGCAAATTGAGAAAATGAATTGAAATTGAGCAATTTAGACAATACCGTTTTTAAAGACAAATGTCGCTAAAAAGATGGTTACATAATATCACTACCTATTCGATGCCGTGCGTGGAAATTTATTCTACAAGTGCTTTCTTGCAGAAACAATTAAATAAGTTTCATGCCTCTAGGGTTCGTTCTATAGAAAATACGTTTCTAACGGTGGAGTTAGAATTCTAGTTGTAACATTTGTTCTTGTCTCTCGCGAAATGATAATCGTTAAGATATCGCTTATGCAAAATGCTCCAGACTTCCCGCATCTCGTTTCTCGCATCTCATCTAATTATTTTTCAACGAAAATTATGGGCGACAGTCTTTGCGACAAGTAGTCGTCCATCTGATATTTCTATAATAATATCAGTAAAAGGGACTTTACGTATTTTAATTAAAAAAAGGGAGCAATGTGATATATATTGCTTTTGAGAGTGGTCTGAAAAAGATAAACGAGTTTTCCTTATTACATTTAAAAAAGTTCCAGAGCACTTTGTCTTCGTCGTAACAGCAATTAATTTCTTTATTAAGAAGATATAGAGCGAAGAAGCAAGTCATAATGTAAACACAATTTTTTCTGGCGTATTACAATGTTATTAGCGGTTTTAAGTAAGTAATTAATACACCGGTAACATCCGTAATCCATGTCGCATATATTATAAAACAGTTTTAAAAGAGATTTGTTACATTATTTTGTCAGAAATGTCAAATCTTTTTAATGTATATTTTATCTCTCAAAAGAGTCAATTTTAAGAATTTATGAAAATCGGATTATTCCAAATTCCATTCTAAACCGCATAAAAAGCTATTTTCTGAAGTGCTCAACTTAAGTTTTTGGCAGAAAAATAACTCTTTGTCATGCATGCGTGTCTAAAACTAATCTTAAAAATGTAGCAATTAATTTTCCGCTTCCTTGCAACCAACAGTTTAATATATCTGCAATTTTTCTCTTTGTACGCACGCAAAGATCTCACATCAGCGGCTAATAATAAACGTCCAATTTCCGGTGTCTGCGCGTCTTTGGTTTCTCTCACCGAGTAAGTGTTCCTACTTCCAGATACAAGAGGATAATTACAATAGAGTGCTGTAACGAGTTGTATTACGCGATAAATACAACTCGCATAGCGCGTCTGTCGTCTGCTTGATATAAAGTTCTGTCCTACTAATGATATTATCTCATTACCGTTAATGACATACACTTAACGGAATGCGGATTATTGGATGAAAATCCTGAATATATGTGTGTATGCATAATGTATGTATATACAATATATATACTTTCATACGTATATCATCGCAGTAAAATGGTTATTAATTAACGCATCAATTATATCGTGTATCAGAAATCATATATTTCCTATTTTTAATCAAAGTAACTTTCGCAAGTATATTCGCGGAAAGGATGAGAGAAAATATGACATTCAGGCCGGAGAGTAGTCTGAAGTACATTTTTATCACACGTCGCAATATCGGGAAAAGTATGAAACTCGCGTACATCAAGAGACACGGCAGTGTCTCGCGCCAATCTTTATTACCGTGATAATGGTGCCGCGAACTGATGCACGCGGAAATTGCAATATTGCCTGATTCCGATTACTTTCGAGCTTTCAGCGTGCGCATACACCGCGCGAAGCCGACGACATAATGCGATGAGATCACAATGCCAGCAAATTTGCATTGCTAAAGCCATGTTTTGTGGATCGTCAAATATTTATCGAGTAATAAATCTAAAAAGGTGGAGGAGAGGACAGATTGTATACCATTTAACGAGAACATATATATAATGTTTAATTTTTTATTTAACATAATTTTAATAATATATATTACTATAATAAATCTATATTCTATATATATAAAAGTGTTTAATAATTCCAAAACGACAAATTATATGTATATTATTTGTTGTTTTGGAATTATTAAACTCTTCCATATGTGCACGCGCGTATTGCGACAAAATAGCTATTGATTTTACATTATATAATACAATATATAATGGGTTATATTAAATAATTAATGGATTAATTAATTACCTCGTGTATCAGAAATCGTCTTTCTAAATTTTTATATTATTTTCAAATGTACATATTGTTCCGCTGTTTATTGAAATATTCCACTTGCAAAGGAAATAGGTTACTCGTAATCCTATTTGTGTAATCGGAGCGAGACGAAACGTTCGACAAGGTACGCCACAGCTTTCGCGGATAGCAATTCGCTACTTGGAATTTTAATTAACATACTGTAGCTGAATTTCACTTCATTTCAGAATCAGATCGTCGTGGCCGTGTCGATTTTATGTTTAATTTATGACTAATACCTATGTCGGATCTTATTTTTTACACACGCGCGATTACATTATTTATATATTGTATAATTTAGAATAATAAAGAAGTGAGAATAATTATTATATATAGCAATTAATAAACTGAATATCTATTTGAAGTTTTTTACTATCATCCAAAATTTTTAAAAGATATTTAGAAGCTAAAATATTTTTTTTTAAATAAATTAATAGCTATTAATAATGTCGCTTTATCTGTGCGTCAAAAGCATATAAATTGATACATTAATATCTATTTAGTTTTTAATGATGTTTTGAAAACACATATTACCATAACATTAACAGCATTCATAAATGTTTATTTACACCCTCATCAAATATTTTATCTTCAGCATAATTGAACGCCGTTATCAATATTACAGTCCTGATAAGTATTAGATGATAGCCGTAGTTAGATCCTAATAGAATTTGATTAGAGTTCACTGTAGGAAATATAATTAATAGAAATCAACAATATTTCAAAGCAATGACAACGCGCCGCACCGTCATCGTGGACGCGCATCAATAATTGACGATTGTATCCTATAATTCGTACGAGATGGTGAAACCACGAAACCATTTGCTTCCCGTATAATCATGGTGAAATTATGACGAGTCTCGAAGAATCCATGTATGGCTCTCTCAAACGCAGCCTTGCAACGCAGGAATGCGTAATTGATAACGGTCTCGGTTCTCATAGCTCTTTCACTTCAGGTACTGTTTTGTATTAATGCTCGGCCATGCATTCGAATAATATCGCGAAGCCCAACTTCCTCACGTTGTCATTGAACTTATTTTTCGTTCGAAATGACGTTGCAAACTTCATAATTTTTCAAATAACTTTGCAGACAGTCGAAATTTGGAAAACATCGTACATAAGATTAAAAAGAGTAAAGTATACAATACGTATATAAAGTATCGATCTGCTAATAGTTTCAAAATAACTTTGAAATACAGTATTATACAACAATCGATCCTTAGTATTTTTATATTGATTATGTGTTATTTAAGTTTTATTATTATAATATTTATAATGAAATAAAAAGATCCTATATAAAAATAGTGTGAGCTTGATCCAAATTTGCGATAAAATATATTACAAAGGGCAAGGTTCCATATTTTATTTTCATATATGAATATAAAGTTTTTGTATCAAAAAGTGCTTGTTTACTTCAGTGCTCCAAATCGCTCTGACTGAAGTAAATACGCCAAGTTTTGCAGTTTTTTCCTTTTTCTCTTTCTCTCCACACACATACATGTTTTACACCATTTCAATATGTTTAATATTGAACAAATCTTAATATTAATTTTATTATAGTTAAGCATTTATTTGCATCTAAAATTGTAAAATTAGGGTTAATCTTGATATTAATATCGATTACCAAAATACAATAATTGCGTGTATGCGAAACGAAACGATCACGCGATCATTATTTTTCAATTAAGGCAATTTTGGGAACAAAACTTTACGATCACGCAACGTTCCCGGGTGTGTGATAGGCCCAAACGGTACTTTCGTTTCACTCGGTGACTTTCGACTGTGAGAGAATTCCAGAAAGATGACATCTCATCTAGCGTTCCTCTTCACGCATACGGAAATAATCTCGAAGACCAGCGCGCGCGAGATCCCATCGAATAATCATTATCATCGAAATCAACTTCCGTCTAAGAAGGCTAAGAATACGCCTTCTTAGAGAGTATACGAGAAGTTCAGTCCTTGATCGTGAACGTGATTGATTCGAAGTAGGTCAGGACCTGTATCTTTTGGTGCCCGTGCCGTCGACGACTGAATGGAATCTCATTTATATCACAGGCACACAGGTGCGCCAAACGAGTGGCTCGTTACGGCGTGTTTTATCTGCATAGGATACACGGTAAATTACCGGGCTTTGAGGTTTTTCATTTCCTTGTCCGTTAACGCCAGTATTAAGGCGCATAGTAAACATACATTAATTAGCTCAACTACGTTAGCCAAGTTTGGGCAGATACGATTAATCTTTAATGCCTAACGTTATGCATTACTGACGCGA